ACAGATGATTGTCTGAAACCTAATGCAGTTAAACTTTTAATAAATTATACTGAGGTTTTTATTTCTTATCGAAACTTACAGGAACCTTAAGGCAAACAAATTTCTATTTGTCTCCAACCTTAATAAGTTAGGCCAAAAAAATCTACAATTGCATAAACATCCACAGTCTAGTAATTTAAAAAAAAAAACACGATAAATCTTCAATGGTCTTAAAATTTCAAAATACTTACCATTGAACTTTCGTGACAGAGCCATCTTGTTTACTGTTGCACGCAATTAGCTGACACAATTTATATGAGCGTGAGACTGCGTTTCAATTTTTCAAACTTCAAATGAACAAGCAAATTCTGGATTGTAACTGACAATACTAGTCAATCTAAATCAGGTGCCAACAGTTCAGAGTGGTTAGAGGATACGATGCGGAACTTAATCAACTCTGCATATGTAATAGTTGTCGGATGTATTACGTCATACTTTCATGGTTGTGATAGCGATTCTAACACTCTTATTTCATTTTCTGTCTTGTAGTCAATGACGTTCCCGTGTCCAAGATCCAGGATATGATACACAGTTTACGGAGATGCTGAAAAAGACATGGACCCATCGCTATATTCCAATTCTATATTTAATCTTCGACGATATTAGAGTTACTCGGGCTTACGCAATATTACAGTTTAAGAAACGTATACACGTGTATATACATATATTACCGTTCAAAAGTTGAAGATCACTGATCATACCTACAACCTACAACTATTAAAAGCACATTACACAATATTACACTCTATGATTTCTTTTATCAGCTGTTACTATCGTTCTGTAATCGTACAGTGTAATTCGTTGCAAATAGACCACTGCATTATGTTTCATTGGATTAAAACAATAAAAGATATATTCGTATAAATTAAACCACCACTAGCACGTATTTACATGTAATGACAAAAAAAAATAGAATGACGTATCTATAGTCCTTATATTCGTAACAATTTCAATCATCATTATGTTGTGAAAAAAGTATACAATTTTATTTAGTATAATGCTAATGTCTTTCATAACACTGAAAGAAAATGTTATGCTGAACAGTCTGTTGTACTACATTTTGTTTGTAAACATATAATATGATTAGTACTTTTCTTATTCCCATTGATACGCAACGAAAGATACTATGTAGAATGTCATACTTTTGTGGAAAATTTATCTAACTGTTTACGTATTTTTTATTAAAACTTTAAGTTTGATTATTTATGTAATAAGTGATTTTAAACTTCTGAAAAATAATGTATGTGTGTAAGAGGTAAAAAATAATTTTCTGAATGCTAGACTACGATAACTGTCATGATTATCGCGAATTGAAGATAAACCGCAGTATGCAATAAATGCACCATCTTATCGTATCCTCTGTATTGATAATATCGATTCCGTACTCATGAATTCAGGAAACGATAGATACCTATACCCACAATGTTCCGCGGGAATGAACGTTATCGATTTTGTATAACCTGTAGTCAGATGTGAGCACGCTAATTATTTTACCATAAACACTGCGATGGAAATTGTTGTGAATTTCACGTTATAAGAATATAAATTGCATAGTATAAAGTATAAGTAATATACATTACAAATTAGTTTATTGTATTTATATTGTCTTAGCACAATTTATTATTTCAAATATTTATTTATATAATTAAGTAGAAACGACTATAATTTTGTTAACGTAAAATGAGTTATAAGCTCAATAAATTATAAATTAAGTACCTTCCATACAGATTTTATTTTCTGAAGTCAAGTCTGATTAAAGTATAACTCAAGACCGAATAAACGTTTGAATGTAGGTTGCAAACGTTTCGCATGCATTGGATACTAATTTATTTTTATAATTGCAACCTAACTAAATGAAATTTTTTAATTTAAACAAATACAAAGAAATCCTTCAAATTTGTATTTAAAATATTAAGTTGTCGCGATATAATTAAAACTTTTTGAATATTTTTTACAACCACTGAAAAAATACAGTATTAAACAAAGGTACTTAACATACAATTTTCACATACTATTATAATATCACATATGTTTTCATTTCCTCTGTCATTTAACAAAATTAAAATTTCGCGTAAGAACTGCAATTATCGTGCACATCCTAATGATTATAAGGATTCTACGTACATCTTATGAAAAATCCTTTTTTTGTCACAAGAAACATTACTAAGAATGAATAAAATAAAAGGATAACGCATGTATGAACATGATTTATTTATTTAGTGTAATTCGTAATCACACTAACCTCTTTCAAACGTACCTTTTTCTTCGATTATTACGTGCTAATTTGTCACGTTGATCACTATTCTGAAGGGTACGTTAGCAAAAACAAATTACATTTAACACTACGAGACATAACGTTAATTTTTAGTTCACAAATATCATTGTATCACAGAACATTACACAGTAAAACTTTACACACGAAACGACAATCGAACACACGCTATGTACGCTACGCACAAATAACACTGAATTTCAGTGTAGAATGCCGCCGACTTTTTCCGTCTCCGTCTCCAATCACCAAACCAACGAAACCAACTCGTGCTTTTTTCCCCTTCCACAGTCACCTGTTGAGTGTGTGATGTACTTAGCCATACGTGAACGTCAATATATGTATATGTACATAGCGTACCAACTGAGCAGCTGTTTATTTGCAAATTGACTTTTGCTATTACTTCTCTTACATCTATTCTTTTATACAATTTAATCAATGTTAGTTTAACATATAATTGAAATTAAATAAACTTAACATACAGACTACATATATATGGTGCTGCTTGTATCATTTTTGTATTGTATATTCATGAATAATAAGTTTTCACTATAAACAACGTTTATTATTTGTCTTGTATTAAAATGAATTACACGAAAAGTCTTTTAAGCGATATTATTGGTTGAATTAAAGCTTAAATGTTATTGATTGGTACACACATAATGTCAATCATAAATATACAATACAAACTTGCAAGTTGTAAAAACATCTGTTGATTAATTGTATTCAGTGATAAACATTAGTAAACAGAGGTAATTTTATAAATTCATTACAGATTATTTACCTTCACTTGCTGTTACTTATAATGCCCTTCAATATGTATAAGATTTAGTATGATAAACAGAAATAATAATTAATATGAAGTATCACCAAAGGACAAATTAATACCAGTTGTGGAATATACTGTATGGTGTACAACAACACTAAATAAATACATTAAGATTTACCAATTTTTACTATGGTTTCTAATATTTATAAATATATTTCCTAAATTAGTATCATAATGTAACGTCTAACTAATTTCTTTGGTTGTGGTAAGTGGTCTGGTAAGTATTAACATTGGTCGATATAAAGTTCTTGTGTTTGAGTTTAATAAAAAAAGTAATTTAACAGTATATTTTTGGAAATAATTTGCTTTTATTGTCCTAATAGTTTCAAATATTTAATTATTTGATTTGAAAAATACTTAATTGAATTAGTGTTTATATGTATCTGATTTTTAACATTTGTTTGTTATATAGATTAAAATAAAGCTATATAATTACAGAATATATTTTTCTCAAATTTTTGTAAGTTATTTCAGACAATCTTTGTTGCTTTTAAACACAGTTTCAATTTGTAAAGCAGGTTTTTACACTTGTGTTGTACAAAGATTAAATATATGGCCTGAAAACTATGAAGTCTTAATAAACATTTTTTGCATGATTTCTGTTGACAATGACCATGTATATTATGCAGGAATTATTTTATTTATTTTTACTTTTTATAAATTACTTCTACAATCAGTTAAATTCTGTGTGACAAATACATTAATGTGTAGTGCTATAATTATAAGCTACAATTATTATAAGTTAACATACTATTATTAAGATTACTAGAATTTAAAAATCTTTATAAAAATATGTACACTACATATAATATTTCATACATACATTTACATCTAATATATACTCTCTGATAACGCATTTGACTTGGGTTTTGTATGCAACGCCAGCTGACAAAATGGTAAAGCAAATTGGCAGAAAGTCTTGCAACATGACCTATGTTAAATTGAGGGCAAACCCAGAACAAGGTTTGCACAAGCCAAATTGCTGCATCTGTTGCTGTCAATTTGCTGCCTATGTTGCTGCCAATATACGCGCAAGTTGTTTATAGCAAATCTTGTATTAAACTGACTGGGCTATTCTATAAAATTGCAAGCCATGTGCAAGGAAGTAGTGATATAATAATTCTATATATGCAATACTTTAAATAAATGATATGTAATGCCTCAGATTGCTACATGATTAGAAAAAGACTATTACTTTAGAATAGTAAAAGTAGTAATAATATTTTACCATTTGCCATTGCAAATTAAATTTTTAATTATGCATATATGGAATTGCTTATTATAATAGTTGTCCATGAGATTCAAACATGAAATTTGACATCAACATAGTGTATGGTTCAAGTTTAAAGTTTAAGATGGAAACAGCAGGTATAGTAATAGTCTTATTTTTACAAACGCAGTCAATTTTTCTTATTCCCACAAGTTTCATATTTAATAATTTGAATAGGTGAATTTATTTTATTAAGAGGTAATATATCGTTTATTACTTTGTTAAATACTTGTTAAGTATTTATCATTTACATATAGAAATTGTAATATCTAAAAGATGCATTTTCATTTTAAATGTAGTGGAAGACTTTTGTACTTTTTTAATAATACATAATATATATGTATATATATATATATAAATTTAAATTTTCAAAACTGTTTTTTATAAAGTTGTAATCCTTTCTATTATGTATTCTATTTTGTGCGCAGTTTATCTGTGAGTCTGATCCTTTAAATACTTTGAGCAGTGTATGTTCAATTTGTTCAACATTCGAACTCACAAAACATTTAATGTAATCTCTATGAAAATGTTAGACAAAGGATATTTGTATGACATATGGTACAACAGACATGTGTGCATAAAAATGTATTTTATTATTCGTAACAAACAAGGCCAATTTCTATGTAAAAACTTTGTTCAGGTTTTCCAATGTCTCGTAAAGCAACATCTATTATTGGCAACCTTACAGGTTTATCAGTTTCATACGAGATTATAGTTTTGCCCCATTCTTCACCATGTAACTGTTATAAAGAGGAATATAGACATTTAGTATAGTACGCACATTTAGTATAGTATGTGTCCGGATATTCACTGGTCTCCATAATGAAGGTGAATCTCTTTGAAGGAAGTTCACTTGCAGTTAATATTATATTCCACAGTCAGTCACCAATTTCAAACTTACAGGAGTAATCTGTTTGCTTCATAAAAACATATGAAAATATCATGTTAAATAGATTCCCATGAATTCGTTAGTCACTGGTATACTGCAATGATCTTTGGATAGAAGAGAACAGTGGTCATTTTATCTTATAAGTCCTAGTCTTTGAAGTACTAATCTTTGAAAATGTATATCTCATTAAGTATGTATTCGATTCTGACACCATACTTATAGAATGTATTTTCCTTCATTTTACCTCCCAAATCATCTCCTTTAAGGGGATCAGTGAATATAATGGACACCCTATATATAAAACTGTACATATACAAGTTAGAGTATTAAATAATGTCCACTTTGACATATATTTCATTATTAATGCCATTACTTAAATATTTACCTTGCATTCATCCATTATCATCTCATATCTAAGTCGTTGATTTCCACGTGGTGTTAATTCAGCATCATTCCATGTTAAAAGTTTCATACCTTTCCTATATGTTTTCCGTTCAGAGTCAAAGTATGCTACACTATTTTTACAGTGGTAAGTTATATTTTGAGAAGCATACTTCGACAGTAATTGTAAAAAGCTAATTTGATTACTATCTGTTTTATAAGTAATCTATATAGAAGAGAATAAATTTTAAATAATATTGTGTAACACATACGGCAATAATAGAAATGCTATACAACCTATTATATGAAAAATGTGTATTATATATGCTATACAAACCTTCATTCCATTTTCGATTTCACTTAACCAAATTTCTTGTTGATCAGTGATGTAATTGATTTCTGGTGAACGCACTGGATTTGGTAACAGACATGTTGCACGTTTTTTAGCATCACAATACACCAAAATTGCATCTCTAGCATCACCTTCATTCGGATCTATCCAATATTCTCCTAAAATAGAATTATTTTTGGAAAATAAAATGTCATATTTCTAAATACTTCATATGTAAAAGTTGATGCCTTAATAAAGTATTAAAAAAAAAATCCAAGATTACGTATAAGAAATAAATATCAAATGCATGAACTAACCAGAAGGTTTATTTGGATAAGCTACGTAAAGGTCTCTACATGTTTTAGCAGGTGCATTTTTTTCACCATCTGGTTTCATAAGTTTTTGGAAGGATGCGTTTAACTGTTTGTATGCTTTCAATATAAGTTCTCGTCTTTCTTCCTCTGTGAATTCTTGACTAAATATTCTAGGTGGTTCATCCCCGATTAATGGATCTGGACCTTTAGTTTGACCTTGTCCTAGATATATAAAATATAAACATTGATTTATGGTATTTAATAATAAGTAAAAATGCTATACTACCAACAATAAATTAAATTTATATCGACTATTAATTAAAAAGTAAATATGCACCTAACAGTGCAGCTAAGGAAGCAGCATCGTATCCTAATCCAAGTTCACCAGGTGGACCTGCAGGTCCTGGAGGACCAGGTGGACCTGGTAGTCCATGACGACCTTCATCACCAGAAGGACCCTTTGGTCCAGGATTACCAGTTAATCCAATTGGGCCAGGATTACCATCTCTACCAGGACTACCTCTGGGCCCAGATTCTCCATCTTTACCAGGTAGACCAGGATTTCCAGTCATACCTTTCTCTCCGGGTGAACCTATTGGTCCAGGTAAACCCTGTAAACCAGTAAATCCTCTATGTCCTTTGACGCCTTTCTGGCCCTCTTCACCACGATCACCTTTTGGACCTTCTAGCCCTATAGGTCCAGATTTTCCTCTGGGTCCCTAAAATAAAAAGAAAGTATAATATACGATAAATATTATGATTCAATTATAATACGAACTTGTTGTCCTTCTACACCCTGAGGACCTGTTTCTCCTTTTGGACCTTTTTCTCCAACTGACCCTGGTAGACCTGCTTGACCGGGTGGCCCCTAATTGAAAAAACACATCCTCATGACACAATAGTATATATAAAGCATTATTTCCTTCAATTCCCACTTCAATAAAGCATGTTATTACAACAAATTTGAATTGAGATAATCAATACAAATGTGTTATGCAATGATTCCTGATTTCTACCTCCTTTGTGAACTTCATGATTATTTTACATAGTCGTGTTTTGTATATTGTTTAATTGTATTAAGTTACTGTCCTGGACGAAAAGTTTAGTTAGATGGAGCTGAGTTAGATATCTTTCCTTGGTACTTTGAATACATATTTGTAGCAACCTTTGCTCAATGTGCTTTATTTATAAACATTGAAATCATGATCATATTTAAATTATTTAAAACTTAGGTAATATTCTAATTTCTTTAATGTTTTGAACGTGATCTTTGTTTACCGGCAAACCCGATGGACCTGGTAATCCTGGTTGTCCCACAGCTCCAGGTGGTCCTTTATCCCCAGTGCGACCAGATATTCCAGGAGGTCCAGGTTTACCAGCTGGTCCTTCTACTCCAACTTCACCTGGTGATCCAGCTAGTCCCATTGGTCCAACTAAACCAAGAGGCCCTGGTGGACCTTCTGGCCCCGGCTTTCCAGGTATTCCAGACTCACCCTGCCGTATTATATAGATTAATATAAAAATGTCTACTATAGTCTATAGTTATAAGAAAGAGTTGAAAGTTGCAATATACTTAGGACTTCTAGTGAAAAAGTAATTTCATAAAAAAAGGTTAAAGTTCTCTTATTGTTCGCAATATCTTCCGATGTTGGTAAGATATTATCAAAATTGTACGGACAAAGCTCTTTAAATTTAGATTTTGGAGTAGTGAAAATTAATGTGAAAATCGTTCGATTCATACTGTCTTCATCAATGTAGCATGGACGAATAGCGAACAATCATATTCGCATTTTAAAGATGCACATATTAAATATTAATTTATAAAAATGTAAATTTTTACATATGTCACAATGCAAAATAAATTCATTTTTGCTTTCGATTTTTGCATTCTAGGTTCAGATGACTACGTCAGCTATGTTTCTTTCTGTTTTAAATTTTCCCTTTCTATTGGTACGGCTGTGGTAGCACCTGTGTACTTTTATTGTTTGTTTTATTCAACTTCCGTTTCTGTTAGATTTTCCTGTGGTGCTAATGTATTAATGAATAAAACGCGTGATAAGTATGAAACGTAATCAGTTTAAATTAATAAAGGACAACCTAATCCTAACAGATTGAATTTCCAAATGCGAAAGCAAACTTCATTCATCATTCATTTTTTAATGTGTCTTGAGTTATACACAGATTTTGTTGTGTTTTGTTCAAAATTGTTCTTTTTTATTAATATGAATATGACAGTGAGCTTGGCTAACTAGAATTTGAATAATCAACATACTAAGGAACCTTTCGATTCGATATTTCCATGAGAAATGTGCACCCTGATAACCAGTTATATGCAAGTTTCGAGCAAATTGCCAGCAAATAATGACAAAATTTGTCTAAAGTACATAGCCATCTATTTCCGCATTCGACGTGGGGTTTGCAAAAAAATGGGAGTTGTAAAGAAAATTGGCTACACAAAAAGCTACACTTTTTTTCATAAATATTAATACAAGTAAATTGTTTATTTGAGTTTTGCAATGAAAAAATCTTTTGTTAACTTACAGGCGCGCCTCGCAATCCTCTGGCACCAACTGGTCCAGAAGGTCCTGGTAAACCTGGTAAACCTCTTTCACCAGAATTACCTTGGGGGCCTTGAGGACCTGGTGAACCTGGTGGTCCTTCAGATCCACTTTCGCCTTTGCTTCCGTCAGCACCAGGTAAACCTGGGTTTCCAGCTGCACCAGAATTCCCAGGTCGTCCTGTTTCTCCAGCAGCACCTTTAATACCGGGTAGCCCAGGAGGACCCGCTTGTCCTACGGTACCTTGCGGACCCTATACATGTTGTGGATTAAGTAATTACCTTGATATTGCACAAAATCTCCTATTTATAACGTGTAAATCGAAAGTAATGTTAAATTTAACTTACTGCTACTCCAATTGCTCCGGGTATTCCAGGTGGTCCCATGATACCGGTTTCTCCTCTGGGACCTGGTTCACCTCTTACACCCTTAGCTCCCGTCAATCCAATTAAACCTTGTGGTCCAGTTTCACCAGGACTGCCTATATAAGGTACACGTATAAATTACTATTACATAAAAGTAACTATACATATATGTAAAAATATGAGTCCATTTGTTGTACAAGATATCATGGAAATCGTAGTAGAACCGGTGAGTATTTAATTAGTAATTTAAATATAAGTTGAAAAATGTGAAATAAAATCGTTTTACACGTGATTTTATTTCCAAGAAAAGTTATTTTCAGTATAGTACAGATTTCACGAGAGATTAGATTAAGACACAGAGTCCATTCTGTTTTACAACGAAAATGACATTAAGTTATAAACAAACACATTTTCTTGACATTTTTTCAATGATAATTATAGCACTATTGTATATACCCACAATTCCCAATTTTTCGACAAATTTCGTTTAGAAGATTTCTTACGCCAGGATATAAAGCAAGGATTAATATCTTACAAAATGAAAGTTTCGATGTATTCTAATTCAGTCTTAATGTTTGTAAACTGTTGTGTACGTATTTATTGTATTCGAATTACCTGGAGAGCCAGAATTTCCTTGATCTCCTTTTGCACCTGGATAACCCCGATCGCCCTTTAATCCTGGTAGACCAACAAGTCCTTGCGGTCCTGGGAAACCTTGCGATCCTTGCAAACCTTGTGGTCCTCTTTCACCTGGATTACCAGGAGCTCCAGCTTCTCCTGGAGAACCAGGCGAACCAGGATCTCCTCGTTCAGCCGGTTCACCTGGTGGACCAGGTGGACCAACTAGGCCTTGAGGCCCACGTTCTCCAAGACGTCCTGTAAGATAGAATTTCAACATTTAATGATGCTTATAGATAATGAATCTATTTCCTTGAATATACAAACCAGGCGGTCCTTCCGGACCAGATGGACCACTGGATCCCCTCTCTCCTTTCGGACCGGATTCTCCCGGAGCACCTCGTAATCCCGGCAAACCTAATAATCCAGATGGACCAGTACTTCCTCTATCTCCTTTTGATCCAGGCAATCCCTAGAGTGTAAGATATGTAGAAAATATGGACTAATTATTAGATCACACGCATAGTACCACTGCAATGATCTGTCACCAGTTGCGAGGAATTAGCATTGAACACTGATGCTAATACGGATTCTTTTGTCTTCGAGAATCATCATTGTAAAATGGTGGTGTACCGAAAGTAACATTTAATACCATTTTGGAATATGGGTCATTTCATGTCAACCGGGACAGAAAATTTTCGATCAATTCTCCGATTTTGTTGAAGTTTTTTTTACGTGTTCTGTATGGCGTAGAAACACGTGTGATTTCTTTCAGATTTTTAAAATTAATATTTCAGAAAATATAAACGATTAAATATTGCACAAAATCTTTAAAATTGAAAATCCTCTTACATTCGAACATTAATATCTTCAGTTCTGTTTAGTTTACAGACTTCATCTTGAGCTCATTTGAAAGCTCTGAACCGCACTTTCATTTTCTATACACTAAGTTCAGTAACGATAAGGTATTACATTTGTTATAAACACATATACTGACATGAAATTTTCGAAACTTCTACATCTCGATAACGTTTTGAAATAAATATGACGTTATTCCTTGATTTATCCAGTACCAATATGGTAAGTTTCAGGATGGAGAAACAATGGAGTGTACTTTAAAATAAATAAGTAACCGTGCCATAGACGCAGCGCGCCGAAGCTGCTGCGCGTTTGGGCGTATGGCAATCAGAAGTGAGTCTACGAACGGTTTCTTAGATGGCATTTTTAAATTGTTTGATGTACTTTAAGGCACTATGTGTACGGTAAAATGGCCTCTTATACAGTAAAATGTGGCAAACTCCTATATTATTCAGAATTAAAAACCGTTATTATAGATATTAAGGAAAAGACACTTTTGACCCCCGACTTTGAAAGTTGTGTTCACCCTCTAGATATGAATGTCAGCAGCTAATAAAGAATACGTGTCAAATATTTTTTAAAATACTACCTTTGTCCCAAGTTGTATAAAACTCACCGTGTTACACTTGAATGATGTCCCTTGGTAAATTGTAATTTAGAATAGAAAATAATTTTTCTGTGCTAAATGTAAGGGCTGTTTGGCACTAAGCATATATGGCAATTTTTAGCTTTTGATTGTAATAAAAAAAAAGAAGACGAAATGTCTGTATTGAGAAAAATTTGGAAGCTTACAGGAGGGCCATCAGTCCCTTGTGCTCCTCGTTCTCCCTTCGGTCCCACAGGTCCTGGCACTCCTGCTTGTCCTCTTTCACCGGGGAATCCGCGCTCACCTCTATTACCATGTGTACCTGGTGGCCCTGGCGGCCCTTGTACACCAGGTTCTCCATCTTTACCTGCCGTACCTGGGTTACCAATTGTACCTGGAAAACCCTAATTACATCTAATTATTTTAAAATATCACGTTATTCATTACATTTTTGGAACATGTGATTGAAGTTTACCTGGAAACCTCTAGAACCAGGAGCGCCTGGCGGACCTCGTTCACCATCTGCTCCTGACGGGCCAGGTGAGCCTTGTGGACCCGGTGCTCCCTCTTTTCCTGTATCACCTCTAGGACCAGGTTGTCCCGGATTTCCTGGTTCTCCGGCCCTGCCTGCTTCACCCTTTTGCAGGTATATGTTGAATAAAGTAGGGTTTCTTTATGTTTCAGTAATAAAAAGGTAAGCAGTCTTGGTACCGGATATCCTTTTTCTCCTGGGAAACCTATCGGGCCAGGCAAGCCTTGTAAACCAGATGGGCCTTGTTCACCAGGCTTTCCGTCAGCACCTTGGATTCCTCGATCTCCTGGGTTACCTGGTTTTCCAGGAGCACCAGGACGACCGATTAATCCCCGAGCACCCTGCAATAATAGTGTTTACACATAGATTAGCAGTAAACTACTATGATCCGTTTTACATTTTTTGATAGCTCAAATTATGTACAAAAAAAAACCTAATCCCATAAGTTTCAAATTTGGACTTTTTTCCCTATTTCTTGGGCTTCTGTCCCCCTGTGCGTCGTGTCAGACGTATTCGTCATTCTTGATATTCGTCTTACAATTACTTTTGCATGTACAATCCACCTTACGAAAGTGTTCCACATTTTTATTAACACCCTTGTCTTTATTAGGGATCTGTCCTACTGTGTCTACAAATTTATTTTCACTCCTTTTCTTATACGATGTAGTAGAATTACTTGAAATTTTCAATAACAATGTTGCAATTTTCTTCGTAGTAATAAGAACCTGTAATCCGGCTGGCCCCATACGACCAGGATCTCCTGTAGCGCCTTTTGGTCCAGTGGCACCAATTAGCCCACGATCTCCAGGCTGACCTAATAAACATGCAGTAATTTCTTTGTTGTTATGTGTTCGAATTAAATGAACACAAATTATGTATTATGTTATTACTTAATATAGACAACTGGTATGGACCTTATTAATCTTTTTTACTGATTTTTTATATACAAGTTTTGAGAAATCCATGAATCTTAGTTATTTATCGTGTATCATGTTTCATGCATCACATCATTACCATCTACCATATTATCAAACCTGTTTTAAATATAAGCTGACCTCTGATCTATTTTACTGTAGAACTATTACTAAAAACAATTAAGGAACATCAACTGTATGAGATCTGAAGTTATCAAGAATATAAAGTGACTTGTTCTTCATACGTAGGAAAGAAATATTACATATATGCATTATTAGACACAATAACATATTTCTGAAATATAATATTCAAGACATTTCATTTTAAATAATCTTCCTAACTTCATTTTAATTCACAATCAAGAACAACTTTATTTGCAGAAGATGATTCTCCTTTGTCATTTAATTTTTCTATAGGGGCCTTAATTCTTCCAAACTTATTAAAAATATTAAATTGGTAGTATTTTTCGTCACCGTCTGTTACAGTACTGACATTCAGTTCTTTTACATAAATACTTACTGAATAAGTTTTACTCAATAAATCTAAATAAATACTTGAATATCACAATTTTCTATATTTTAAATAAAGAAAAAGCTACGAAATTTCCTCTAAAATATCGTATCTGTACAACATTACTATTTTTTGAAATACTTCGTTAAAAAATGTCCGAAGTATTTTGGACAAAAAGAAGGATCAAAGAAATATTTGTTTTATCCAATAAAAAATATAATAAAAACTTCATTGTCCGTCTTACAATTTATACTTTACTGTGTTTTAAACACATGGATCTACCATAAGTGTATAAACGCTATAATCCAGTTACTACGGAACATAAGATAACACACCTTTAGGTCCCATAGATCCATCTGGTCCAGGAAGACCTGGTGCACCTGGACTTCCACGTTCTCCGGCGGGTCCTACTGCGCCAATTGGACCACGCATTCCCCTTTTTCCTCTCTTCCCTTCATTTCCAGGTGGACCAGGCAAACCACGTGGTCCCGGTGTACCTGTATCACCTTTAGAACCGGAATCGCCTTTAAATCCTCTTTCGCCTGTAGGTCCCTAAAAATTACAATTGCTTTGTGTTTTCTACGATATACATTTTTATCCAACAGAAATAAAATTGTTAAAATTACAATAGAAAAATATTTACAGGCATTCCTTTCGTTCCAGGAATACCAGGATTGCCAAGTATTCCGGGGTGTCCGCGAGCTCCAGGAAATCCAGTTGCACCGACTAAACCCTGCGGACCTATACTTCCTTTCTCCCCAGGTATTCCATCTTTTCCTTGGGGACCCTGTGGTCCTGATTCCCCGGGCTGTCCTGGACGACCAGTTTCTCCTATACAATAGGAAATAGTCAATGTTTTTAGAATGTGTTTTCTTTTTCTTGTAAGAACTATACAGGCTGTTAATTTTAACTCGAGCACTTAAATTATTTCCACTACTATAAGTAAGAAAAAATGACTAAATAGGATCTGATGATGATAAAAGAAATCCTGTGAAGGACATTTTAACGGTTTTTTTCAAGGTCATCGTATTTTTTCGCACATTAACATGTATTCTTTAAAACGCGATGTGGTAATCGGCGTCAACATGAGTTCAACGACCTACACACCATGACCTTGAAGTGAACTTGAAGGCGACAAAATCAGCTTCAGTTTGAAGAATGCAGAAGTAAATAAACGTAATAAGAATTAAGAAACATTTTATCACCATCAGATGCATGCCTTAAAACCATGTACATCCTATGTAGTTATTTTTTCTTACTTTAAATATTATAGTAGCGGAAATAATTTAGGTGCTCTAGTTAAAATTAATAGCCTCTATACATATACAGGATTTTTTTATGTAAATTCTATACAGTGCGAGGAACTTACATACAGTAGGACCTCGATTATGCAAGCTGGTAAAAACAAAATATAACTATTATACATGCAATTGTATATTCACTAATGTATACGGTGTTAAGAAAAATCCATTTGAAACGTGTTTCTGCCGTGTATAGAAATTCGGGTAATGGAACATTGGGTTAAGCGACGATCGGATAAACGATGTTCCGACAATGGAGGTTCTACTGTAAATTGTTTCGTAGTGTTGTGTTCTGTTTCTTTGGATTCTATAGTGGGTAATCAAACTGTCCGGTCTTGTTCGAACATTCGATGAAATGTCCAAACAGTTCGAAGAGCTTTCGAACAGCGTGGGACATATTGTGTTTGAGTGTGTCCGAACATGTTCATGGACCCATCGTTACATACCTCGTGGTCCCTGTAAGCCTTGACTGCCTTTCGGTCCTTGAGCTCCCTGGTCTCCTTTTACACCAGGGTTACCGGGATAACCGGGCGGTCCTGATTTACCTAATGCACCCTACAAGCACGCAATATTAAAATTCACCGACAGTAAATTCTACCTAATTACTCCTGAATGCTGAAAAGATTGGATTCAAGATGTGCCATATAAAGGGTGTACCACCAAATTCTGCCACCCTTAATTATTCTCTTATTTCTCACGGTAAAAAAAAAATGGTTCCGGAGAAACTTAATGTATTTTCGGAGGGGAAATTAGGCTATGAGATTGAAGGTCATCTCAAAGGCCATATCTTTTGTGATTTCTCTAATGGTAACGTTTTTTAAATGGAATACCCTATTTTTTTTTGCCATTACAAAGAAGAGACCAAAACGTATCCAACAATGTATCAAACTAGGACCTTGAAATGACCTTGGGCTGAAAATTTCGCACATAACTGGTTGACGTGGAAGCTCACAGAAAGTGAATTGTAAAAACAAAATAAACGCCATAATCGCATTATTTATTATTTTAGTGTATGCTCAAAGTGTTGTTACCCCATAGTATGTTACATTATTGGATACGTTTTGATTTCCGCTTTGTAATGGTAAACAAAAAAATAAGGCATTCCATTTAAAAAAATGTTACCATTAAAGAAATTTCAGAAGATATGACCTTGAGATGACCTTGAATCTCATAGCCTAATTTCCCTTCGGAAAATACACTAAGTTTCTACGGAACCATTTTTTTTGTACCGTGACAAATACGAGAATAATTAAGGGTGATAGAGGTACGTGGGACACCTTGGTCACCTTGTACTACATCAAAACCACATATATCTGCGTCACTAGTTCATGTTAGCATTCAGCACTCGTATCATGTATAATTTAGATCAATACGGTATTAATTGCACGTGAAGAATCAATTTTATGTTAATGTATTGATTCTTGATATAGTTGTACATATTATTGATCCTTTCCATGTAAAAGAAATATTTTTACATAAACTAAAATTCTTAAAAAAGAACACTTTCCAGTACTCTTACTGTGTTACGGCTTCTTTCAAATAAATTGAAAATGACGGGCAATTTGTACACTCAATTATATTTTCTATATAAATAATTATTTATATTTACTATTAAATCCTATTTCATATTAATTTTAAAATTATTAATTCATAAATTAAATTTATTGTAACCCATGCCATCTTTATTATAACTATATTTTGATTTGAATTGTTATATATATAATATATTAATAAATTCTGAAAACAACAATACACAAATAAAAATAAAGTATTTCTTAACATGGAATATCAATTAAAACACAGGTTCCTCTAATATCTAAATCAAGATTGTTACATTAGAAGGTTGTTATATAAGCAGGTTGTTCAAGTCGGGTAGGAGGTGTGTCTATAAGAAAAAATATGCCTAAAAAAATAAATTTGTTTCGTTTACGAGAAAATTGTGTTTGAAGATTCATCTAAAATTTGTTGTATTACAAGTTCGTGTTGGAAATAAGTAGAACCAGCCTGTAATAAACAGACGCGTTAGCCAAATCCTATTCTATTAGCAGATTACCACTATTACCAGTCTATCCAACAAATTATTAAGTTCGATTATCTCGAAAATGAAGCATCACCCGAAAAAATTTTATTTCTTATTTCGACTTGTTTTTTCTTTTATAATCACCTCCTGCCCGGTTATACTACCCGACCTGAGATACCCCACTTATATGCTCTAACAATTCGGTAAATGCAGCGATAAATAAATACGTACTACTTCGTGTATCTCATGTAGCATTAGAATTATTATTTTACCATTTTCATTAATGTTGGAATCCCTTAGATTTTAGGTTGTTAATCGCCTAAATATCCGTATATTACAATAAGGATAAAAGAGTTAGTAATTCGTTAGTAATTTTATTATATTTCCATGGGAAATGAAGGATATTGATATATGATCATTGAACAATATATTGGGCCATTCCGAAAATACAGTGTTTTTCGTTACCTTTTTACTGGGCGAAGGAAAAATCGTTGGATCTGGTGAACAGATACTATATTGCAGGTGTGAATCGAATGTATTTGCTGTACACATTGCACGTCATTTTTTTTCCTTTTCTGTGAGAAATACCGAGGAAACATATACATATAGACAATCACAAAGTCTGGTTTCATTACGTTCTGTCAGACTTGTAAAAACATTACACTACTTGGACTGGAAAATTTTGTAGCATCTACCCAATTACTAAGACTCTGTATCAAGTTCTGTATTAAGGAAAGCAAAAGTCGAAAACAAATTCCATCTAGAGGCAAGTTAAATAGCTTTTTTTAGCTAAAACAATCGAAGTCGTATATCACTGGTACAATGGAATTATTTGAGAAACGTAAAGCCATTTTTAAAATGGTTGTAACTAAGAATATGATATAAATTGTAACTCTGTCCTTGAACACGTTATAAACTTTCGAAGCAACGCAATATAATAAAACGGGGAAGTAGTTTCAAATGGTCTGAAATGTCTCAACTTACAGGTTGTCCAGGGGGTCCAGGAATTCCATCTACTCCTCTGATTCCTGGCGATCCTGATGGACCTTCTCTGCCTCGTTCACCACGTGGACCCGCAGGACCCTGTTTTAGCGGAGCATTTTAGTTATTTACTTCGAAATAATATAAAAAGAAAGTATTAGTATTTTAATTATTAGATTCATCAACAAGCTGGACGATTTATAACCAGGAAGCATTGAGAAATTTAAAAAAATGTGAAATATCGTTACACAAATCAGCAATCATTTTGTTCTATGTTAATGTTAAATTAAATGCACCTTAAGGCAAACCGAATAAGATATTTCTGACAGACGTACTAGAAATTTCTTTCCAAAGTTGTTGATACTAAAATTCAGTTCTTACCATAGGACCCAATGCTCCCATTGGACCAGGTGCACCTATCGATCCTTTTTCTCCCGATACACCCTGTTCTCCTTTTGCTCCGTCCAATCCTGGGAAACCACGGTGTCCTTTTATACCAGGGAACCCAGGCATTAGAACCAACTGGGCCTGGTGATCCTGGGGGACCAGTTTCTCCGTCTTCACCAGTGTTACCCTAATGTAAATGTATTTATGTAAAATTACAACTGGTAATAAATAGATTGCGTACTTTATGCATTTATAGCCAACAGGGCTTTGTGTAATATAAAAGAGAAAAAAACTTTCGTCACATGTAATGTGTTTTCTACTTTATTCTGAACCTAATAAGATATTTAAGAGAAGAAATTAATTCGAAACAGAATGTCGAAACACAATTACGTGTATATGAACTGTAATATACGTATAATGTAGTGTTGATTATTCAGACAGGATCAAGTATGATAAAGGTAATGAAAATCCGGGAAAAATATTATATAAAAACATGATTGGAAATTTACGTTTAAGTTGGTTTAAGATGAAAAAGGGAGGCTTGATGATTATGATGTGATTTAACTGAATTTCTTCACGGAAGTTACCTTATTAGGTTTATTCATAATATTTATGACATAAGAAGTGCAGGTGAAGGATAATGTGGAAAGAGTAACGGTGGTTAAAAACGGGTAATAATAGATATGAACTTAAGAATAATTATTAAAATACCAAAAATTTTATATTTATTTTTTATTATCCTAGAAGTTCCTACTAAAAGATTATTTAGTTGTAAAAATAAATAATCTACTATGTACAGAGTGTCCCACATAATATGTTACGAGCAATTAAAAAAAAATGTTTCACATAAATGTGTTGGATTTAGGAAACTCCTCTCGCTCAAATATTTTATACCCTAAATGTTGTTTAGTTTAAAAAAATTCACGTCTGCAGTGGTTCCCCAGAAAACAGCTTTTAACATTTTATGTAGGACACCCTGTATTTTCATAACAAGATGGTGATATAGCTTTCTGTTTTCATATTTGATAAAATTGCATCACTGATTTTCTTGGAAATAAAACTAAATTTAATATGTATACATATACAGGGTGTTAATTTTAACTCGAGCACCTAAATTATTTCCGCTACTATTGAAAGTAAGAAAAAAATGACTAATTAGAAGATGTACATGGTTTTAAGGCATACATCTGATGGCGATAAAAAAAATCCTCTGAAGGTCATTTTAACGGTTTTTTCAAGGTCATCGTAAGTTTTTGCACATTAACATGTATTTTTTATAACGCGATGTGGTAGTCGGCGTCAAGATGAGTTCAACAAGCTACACACTATGACCTTGAAGTGACCTTGAAGGGGAAGAAATCAGCTTCAGTTTGAAGAATGCAGAAGTAAATAAACGTAATAAGAAGTAAAAACATTTTATTACCATCAGATGCACGCTTTAATACCATGTACATCTTATTTAGTCATTTTTTCTTACTTTAGATAGTAGCGGAAATAATTTAGGTGATATAGTTAAAATTACCACCCTGTATATAATTGATACAGTTAAGAAATAATATTAAGACCTGCCAAGGACAATGAAATATTCCATCAAGGTTATACATACATCTTTTCCCGAGACACCGGGTAGTCCTCGAGGACCTGTTGCACCTGTAGGACCCACAGATCCAGGTTCGCCAGGTTCTCCTCGTACTCCTTGAAAGCCTTGTGGACCAGGTGGACCAGGCGGACCTGTTACATGCATAAAGGTATCAATGAATCTTTCGAAACATTTACCAATTACCAGTATACAATGTAGTTATTAAGGAATAAAAGAATACCTGCTGGACCACGTGGACCAACAGGACCTACTTGAGCTTGTAAGAAAGCTTCTGGACCATACAGTGGTGCTGCTGCTCCGGTTGGACCTTTATCTTCATTTGCTTGGGATAAAGCCAATTGCTGATAGTACATCGATACCTATATCAATTTATTTAAGACAATCAAGATATTAACATTTTATTGAAAAAAATATGCGCAAACTAAGCTTTTAGCATTGTTTAGCATTGTTTAACAAGCTCTATCATCAGACTGTATTATTTTTTTTATAAATTCATCGGTGCACTTGTAAACTGCAATTGCACGTTTTTTTTTTTAAATTGAATACTACGATTCTTTTGCATAGATTGATTCCTCGTGTCATTCTGCGTCGTAAGATCATTAAATGAAAACATAATGATTTAACAGATGTTCCAGTTTTTTCGAAAACTTAGATTAAGGTACTCAAACGTTTCACTATTGCATTCTGAACATTTCTTTTCACATTTTTCATTATGTCTTTTTATAAATCTAAACAAATAAAGAAATTACAAGTAGTTCACCATCCTATGGTAACTACTGCAAATGTAACATTTGAGAATAGTATACTTCTAAAATTCATAATATTTTTAAACGTCAAAGATAGAGTAGAAATCGCAGGTTTATTTAAATAATTAATAATAACTAATGTCGCTTACTCAGTTAATTAGTAATTAAACATACAGAGTTCGTGCTTCTATATACTTAAAAAGCAGAGCTTGTTTTAAATAATTGAAAAAATGTATAATATTTTTTTGAAATTTCTCCAAAATTGGAGTTTATTTTTTATCATAGATTCTTAATAAAAAAAACTGACATTGCAAATTCTTAACCTTCACGCGTTTTTCGGTATTTAATTATTTTTATTTTACGTGTGCACCGACTTGTAGAGGAATTGTGTAATAAATACTCACATCAGGCACGGATCCTGGTGGTCCTGGGGGTCCTGGAACACCAGGTGATCCAGGTTGTCCAGGAAATCCAACATCGCCTGGCCGGCCAGCATCGCCTTGTCGACCTGGGTCGCCCTAATTGTCATGTAAATAATATTATAAAAAAGATATCATTTTGAGCGTTATAATATTTTCCTTGTATAACATTCCATTGTAATGCATACTATTAACCCTTTACTGTTATGAATCGTTAACTTACTTAGGCGTTTATAACTCACACTACTACTTAATTACTTAATTAATTATGTACCATAATAACTAATTCAAGGGAGAAAGGGTTAATTTGGACATAAAAATGGATAAACTTCCGAAAAGCACCCACACTCGATGACCCGGACTTTGACATATCTTATTATTAATTAATAACTTATTAATATCACCCAGCCGAGTAACCTTCAAAAGGTTTAAACCGCCGATCATTGGTTATTAAAAAATTATGAACAAAAAAAATGCTTGAACCGTCCCTAATTAACTCAAATCAGTATAATGCTTTAAAGTTGATTAGAGACAGTTCAAGGAAATAATGTATTCTTATTATCACCGCGGATTTTTGGCGAAATTCGACGACGAAATACATAACAAATATTTATTCTACCAGTTTTTTTTACCTAACTCTAACTAACTCAGTCCAGTATAATGTTTTGTACAGTTTTTTTTATTTTTTAATTAGATCTAACCAACTCAGATCAGTATAATCCCAGATAGCACATGACGCCTAATGACGCCTTGAAGACGGCTTAAAGGCGTCTTAGACCTGAAATAGCCGTAAAATGGGCGTCTTTAAGGCGTCATCTGCTATCCGGGATGCCTTGAACAGTATTTTTTAAAGACAAAAGTTCAGATTTCTGGGACGATTATGATACATTTCTCATTCTTTCTTTGTTAATATCTTTTTAATAACCAATGATTGGCGGTTGAAACATTTTAGAGGTTACTCGGAAGGGTGAATTTGATAACATATGTCAAAGTCGGGGTCATCGGGTGTGGGAGCTTTTCGGAAGTTCACCCGTAAATATCATTTGTATTGGAATATTTACCCTAGGTCCCGGTACGGCAACCGCGTTTATTACATTGCTTTCACCGGGTACAATTTCTGTTGGCGACTAACAAAATAACGACAAATTATGTTTAATGTGAATATTCTTTATTAGAACTGGTTTTCTGTTTTAGATTTTATTTCGTACTCACTGAGTGATCTGTTGAAGCAGAAGTAGCGGCTATTTCATCAGGCAGTTCTGTGAAAAGAAAAGCATTACATGCATGTTTATAAACATTTTTACTGTAACCCTATTTGAGGAATATATTTATATTATTTTTCTTTCCACTAATTTGTAGTATATCGTGTCTACTCGTTACTAACATAATTTTTATCACATACATACAGTTTATTTTAATGAGAGTATTTCAACTATTTCAAGTAAGATTTTACACATCGTCTCCATTCGATTATTTTAACAAATCTGAAAAAGATTGCTAGAAGATGACTAGCGCTGTTATTTTTATACAAAAATATGTTTCATCGTATAAGAATATTAATTTTCTTGTGAATAGCAATCAATATTTTCTTGATGAAAAGATGTATTAAAAGTGTGATGTAACGTCGTATTATTGTAGAAGATTTTTTTCACGTATTATCAGAACACTTATCAATCTTATGAATACCTTGATGAAAAAATCGAACCGTTGTTGGTACTGGTAGATCTGTAGGCAGTGCTGGTCTATGAAATGGTTGCTGTCCTTCTGCTGGTGATTCGCCTCTGACTTAATATAATTCAATACGGTGGGTATTATTAGATATATATTATTTTATTTTTATATATAGCTTTTTAATATCAAATCATACAAATGTGAATTCGTTCACAATTGATACTTAATTTGTATTCAGTTGTAAGTAATTTATGTATTACGTGTTGTTTTTTCAAATAATGAAAGTTATTTATTACCTACTTTTTGGTAGTGATCAACAACAAATAACGCTCACAGCAAAATTGACAAACATGCTATTATAATTTGTTATAACACAATGTTAGCATTCGATACAAACAGTTATAGAATAATATAATCCCAGTAAGTCTTTACACGAATTATTGTTAGTCAACATCAATTCTTTACCGTTTTGAAATTCAATTTTTGTATACGAACCTATACAAGTACATATACTGTACTTCCATTTGAACATTATTATCTGATTATAATTCAATGAAATAAACAAACTAGAATTACAACATATGGTACTATAGTCGACAACAGGAAACGTGTACAAATCAACTTGATATTAATGAGTCATATATGTATGTATATGTATTTTGAATCGAACAATTTTAATATTAACAACTATATTGGTAACGTATAGAGATAGTGTCTAGTTTCATACGGAAAATTGACGTGGTAATTCAAATTTCATTTTATTTAAATAGTTACCAACTTGTTTGTAATCGCGAGTAATAAACAAATATCTGGTAAAACATACAAAATAATATCTACATATAAGAGAAATGACAAGTATACAATTTTTATTTGTTCATTGATAGACATGTTCTAGGTACTTTAATACTTTTAAAAGTATAAATAATAATTATTATTTTTACGATCATGGAATTAAACTCATAAAGTTATAAATAACTCAGTTTTTCTTTTTTAACGTTTTGTGGGTCGAAGACACTTTATAATTAATATTAATATATTAAACACTGTTAACTATTGTTGAATTTAATAATAGTTATTCAATTTGTATATATTTATTATTATTGTTATTTAGTTACTATTTATTAATTCTTAATATCGGTGATGGAAGTTACTTATGACTAAACATAATAGTCACAGAACAGAGACAAAAATAATAGCTTGTTCCTATTCAGGTTATTCAGTCACGAATTTTCCCTCTCTTACTATCTTAAACAAGTATGCTTTATAAAGTCTCCTTAAATAAAATAGAATACAATAAAATTTTATATATAATTAGTGAACTTACCCACACTACCAGTATCAGGTGCAGTGACAGGTAATGAAGTATTTATCGGTGCTGTTTCTAAACAAAAAAATGCAATAATAATTAAAGAACTGCAATGAATTGTAACATATCTATAGTAGATTGTCATTTATGGCTAATAGAAAAACGTATGTATATATATGGTATTTTTGTAAAGAGATCAATTATTACAACGTTTCAAATTCCAAAAGTGAACGTTTTAAAGATATATTAGTAGCAGCAAAGGTACAGCCCAAAATTAATAAGAAAATCAAACCGGAAAGCAGTAGTATACAAGCTTTATGACTCTGCGTAGCATTTAATAGGATACAATAAAAACGTCAATTGTTCATTTTTATCAGTTAACAGAATTGATTAATTGCATTGTACGAAGTGCTAAACAGTGCATCCGATTCAAGACTTCCGGTGTTACTTACGCAGGTTATTAATACTTCCTTTAATTGCTCGGTATTGAGCGCAACATACAACATTATATGATAACAAAGAATATCTAATCTAATGAATGGCGATCCGTGTTTATGGCGATTTAACTATTCATAACACGATAAGTACAAATATATGAAAAGACTGTAATAAACAAATTTGTTTCGGGACTATTTGTGATTTAAGTAGACATTTAAAGAAATTATATACATAGATATAGTATATCCGGTTTAAGTGTATATACGCTATTATTTCTGTAACTATTGAAAATGCGAAAAACTGTTTTATACAGAAGTTATTTGAATTCATAGAGCAAATTTAATAGAATATTTGAATTATTTTTATTGTCATTTACAGAGATTGTAACAACATTGTAATTTTTTTAACGGAACTACATATACTTCTTATTGCCAGGTTATTAAGCATTCAGAACGAATTTAACGATATATTTGAAAATTCTGTTTGAATAATAACTTGTCAAGTTCGGTTAGCGTATTTTGCCTGGCAATGAAATTTCCACTAATATTCATATAGTTATAAAAAAAATTATTGCAGACCTTTCACACATGTTGAATTCTTCTCGAAATGCTTAATAATATGGCAATAATAAAAATGTACAGTTTCATTTTAAAAAAGTACATTGTTATTAATACCTCTGGAAATAACAAAAAAATTCTAATATTCTATTGAGCTTATTCCATAAAATCAAGTAACTTTCACATGAAACATTTTCAATATAGTTAGAGAAATAATAGCGTGCATACACTTAGACCGCATATATGTATACATATAGTATGTATGTACTGTAGATCTATTTCACTCCGTTTCAAACTAATGTTATCGGGCAAACATTTTTTTATTCAAATGAAGTAATTTAAACAATTTTATTATATGTATATCCTTAATTTTCCTAGCATGAAACGAAATCACAATTCATCTTTTTATTGTATTTATTAATAATTGAAAGTCCAATTCTATTTGTACATATTATCATTCTTGTTCTAAACTTCTCTATATGTATAAATGATCCTTGTACATTTGGCATCCTTTAATTTTTCATCCAGACTTACAGCTTATGCACAGCCAAATCCGGCAATTTACAATATCAGTATCACATAACTTTAATAAATACACAGTAGATATATAATTATTGTATTAAAATATTTTGTTAATATAGATCTAAGCTTATAAAAATATTCGTCATTTTTATTAAAGAAGTTTTTTAATGTGATACTGCCGAGATATCACATTTTCGAATAATTTTCGTGCCATAGAGTACCTATAGTAAAAATTTGTAAATAAGGTAATTAAATGAATGTTGAGTAAAGATTTCCACTGAATCACTAATGAAAATAACTATTTACTATGCTATTTATACAGATTTCAAGAAGATATAAATTTTGTGTAATGGACAAATAACGTTTTTGTATAAATATATAACGACTGAAACGCTTCGTTGCAATTCTTATCTGCATAATTTTCAGGCTTTGATCCTTACCTTCTTAACTTATATTTGCTTATCAGCTATAAATATTAGGTTGGCCAAAAAGTAATCTCGTATTTCTGCAGTGGATGATGCTTTTTTTGTTTTCCACTACAAAACTTTGTTCCTAGTTACATAATACAATAGAAACGTATTCCGAACGGATCTGTCAGAAATGCCTATTAACGGTTATGAGGTATTTAGGCTTTATTCAAGTTATAGATGTTATTGCTCGATAGAGATAAAGGAACTTAGACAAAGATAAAACAATATTTAAGCAATTAATCCGCACGCACACCACGACTCTGCTGTTATATTGATTACAAAATATAACACATTGAAAATATGACAAGTATTGAAATTCTAAAATGTTTGCTGACATTTCTCGAATTTGTATTCTAGATTTTGTTTCTCAGACTAAAACTTTAATTATTCGGATGAAATGTCCTCAAGAAAAATGAAGAAAAAGAATGTGTCCGTACGATTAATAATTTCAAGACTGCGGATGTTATGCATTTATCGTGAACGTGAGTATGCAAAATGTAACACGATAAAAATGTACGAAAAGGTGAGTATAAATTCCGCTTTACTTTGAATCTAACGAAATTCCGTAATAAAGTGAACAAACCTCGGAGATAATTTCAATTCAGTAAATTGATCCATAAAAATCTGAAGTCTACTCATCAGTATCACTTTAACCTTAATTACTGAATTGTGAGGGTATATTTATAGACCATTACCTCCATCCCCCAAAGTCAACTAAAACCAAGAATTACCCGATACACGAACATGTAGAAGTGCATAATCTCCACTAAAATAGTCCGAAATATGTTCAAACTTTAAAACTGTGCTTATTTGAAAGTAATCAACAAGTTTCACGAAACTTAACCTTTGATATGTGAAACGTTATCGATGATGCACACTTTTTGGAAACATTACTCACCGTACATATTATGCAACGTTTTCATCCGATGGAGATCGAAAATGTTAGACTCACCGTTTCTGTCCTCGTAGTCGTCGTAATTCCCGTAGTAGTCGTAGTCGTAATTCCCATTCGCAGGTTGTTGAGCCTGCACCGGCCTGGACCGTTGTTTTCGGAGCTTGGTCCTGGCGCAGTGGACCTGCACAAGGAGGGCCTGAAACACGACAATAGCCGTGGCCAGCTGAAGGGCCTTCCACCCCATGGAGAACCGTGCCGACGAATACGCGGCAATCCGATCCTAGAGAGAACTCGGCTTCGTCTGATGCTGATGGCAACTAGACTTATGACAACTGTCGTATCATCTATTTACCAGATGCTTTGTAACTCAAGGGAGGTCATCATCCTCCGTTTTACGATCAATCTACAACATAGATGCAGTTCTCCCACTATCTGGAGGTTCGATCACATGGCTGCACCTCCCTTCTTTGATCCCTTACTTTCAACAACATTTTTTCTAATTCCTTAGCTGTCACTGAACGCCGATTTAGGAATTCAGAAGCTCAATTTCGGTGTAAACATGGGAATATCGAAACCAAACTTCTTGTTTGGTAATAATAATTTTTTTATAAACAAAATGAAAAAAGATTTTTTTGTTTACGGAGTTATCATTGTCAGTTACAAGTTCTCCTATATCATTCTCGAAAATTCATTTAAACTTTTTCTTCTAGATTACGAAATTCCGGATATTAAACAATTCGTGAAGGCTAGTCATTTATGGAACTAATCAGTACCTAATTGTTGAAATGATGTATAGCGGTAAATAACTATTACTTTAACTCTAATTTATTGAATTACGATTAGTTCCAAGTGCGCCTACAGAAAAAATCACCTGTTGCAACAGAATGTCACTCTTATAGTATATTTCGTGACTTCTTTAAAGTTACTTGCCTGAAGTTCACGGAAGAAAAGTTACAGTGTTCTAACGACATCAACGATCTAATATTAAAATAAATATTGATGCTTACTATTACATCATTGTATGTACATGTGATATGTACCATGTATAAAAACTAAATAATATACAATAAGTAAAAGATACCTATTACTTATATGTATATAAGTAAATGGGTAAAAAAAGGATATACAAATTTTTAAAACATAATCCATACTCTATAAAATTATATTTAAGCAGTGGATATTTTCATCCCCTGTTCTCACTAAACCATTACCTATTTCCCAAGTCTAGTATCGTGTAATGTACAATACAATTTGAATAATATATTATCTACCTCTATTCTAATTCACTTAAATTTCTCTATTTCATTACACTGACAGTCAGTACAACTCTCAGAATGGTAATATAAAATTAACCGACAAGGCAGAGTATTGAATAAGATAAATTTGTCTAGACTGCGGATGTTTATGCAAAAATATAGATCTTAAAAAACTCGTATGAAACATTAAACTTCATTATATGTTTTTGTGTACTGAGTTTTAAACAATCACAGTACACTATAAATGAATAAAATTATGCAGTTCACCCATGAAATTTGATCAGGGGGTGTTCATGCAAGTATGGTAGAAGCAAGCGTGTGGAAAACAGTACATGAAACCTACATAACTACAAAAAATTACAAAATTATTCATATATTTTTGAGTTCTCTAACTGGCATAATAAATTCTTCTTTGATTTTTATTATTTCTTGAAATAACGTATACAAACAAATGTATTAAATAATAATTTATGTTTTCTAATGAGTAATTCTCTTGAGTATTTGTAAAATAAAATAGCAATACGCTTCCATTTCATTGCACTCTTTATCTTATTGCATTTCATATACTCGTGCATGTTTTCGATCCATTTAATCCGCAATCCAGCTATAAGAAGTTTTGATTCACATATAGTTTTCATTCCATTAAAGACTTGACTAATATGATATAAATCAATAGGGACGTTTACTTGGTAGTGAGCATTTGTCTCAGAGAGTTGCAAAAGGGTAAACTGCAACACGTAATAAATATACTGCAACACGCGATGAACCATTTACGGTGTTCTATTTTACAATCAGTAACTTAGTATGTACTAACATGTCTAGTATATTTGATTATTTGACAATTATGTCAATTAGATATTAAAATCCTAGTCATTTAAATATTATTATTTAAGACATTGCTGTAGTTATTATTGATACTTGTAATATGAATGTAATATGTAATAAAAATGTGTAATATGAAAATAAAAGAATTAAACGTGTAATAAATTACAAATGAAGCTTAAATGTTTATTACCTCATAAAAATAAATATTTGTTCGTACTATATGTATATGTATACATATACTGCACTATTACGTGAATGGCCACGACATTGTACAAAAAATCAATTTTTAATTACAACTGATATGTTATATCAACTTTCGAAAAAAATGTATGGAGTATACATATATAGTTAATGTCAACAGATTCAATACACTTTTCATAATGAAACATAAAAATAGTTGCGTTAAAATTGGTTTTTGGAACACAATTAAACAAATTTTAAACTAATTCCTTAAAACAATTTCTAACTGCTGTCTTCCTTTTTTTAATTGTGTAACTAAGATATTGATTATACGAGTTATTTTTTTTAAGTAGTATAAGTCCACTTTTCTTTTAAAATGATTGTTAAACCCTATTAAACTTGTATGCTTTTACGATTCCAGTAGATAAGTCAAACTTTATTATGTGACCACTTTTATAAATATTCACTAAGTAAAATAGTATTTGTATAAACCGCAAATAAACCTATGCCCCTTTCAAAAATAATACATTGCTAAAAACGTGACTAATACAAAATTTAAACTTATATTTCAATTGAAGCAGACTTTTCTGAAATGTAATTCAACTGTATAAAAAATAATAATTATAATAAAAACAATAAAGGTACATTACTGAATTTAAAAATATATATGTATATTAATTTGATAGGTATATATATTTTTGAGAATTTTATTCGAATAAGATTAATAAAAAAACAATCCGAACAAAATGAATGTATACACAATCGTGTAGATATACATATATTATTTATTAATTTAGATTCGTAGAAAGTGTTGAAAAATTTGGTTTATTGTTATCAATGGACTTACATCTATCCTGACTATTGTACTGTATTGAATTTAGTATTATAAACATAAACATAAGAAGATGACATCCATGTATAACTGAAATTAGCTTTAACTCATAATTGGAATTCTATCACTTAAAAAAAAAAACGGCTCGCATAATTTGCATAACCGAGGCCACTTTACACTATTTTATCGATATTATAATTTTGTTAAAAATCGATTCTGGTAAGAAGTCTACGAATATGCATGTTCAATATATGTATAAGATTCATAGAACTCTAACGAACCTATTTCGTTCCCATTTCTATTGCATTTCCAATTCACAGAATACGCAAATAGTCCATCGACCCAGTTCGTCCTTCTTTCTTATTTTTATTAGCCACGTCTGTGAGACCAGTCCCGATACCGAGATGCGTCGTTTCCACTTAATAAGTTTATTAAATGACAATCATCATTTTGGCCGCATTCCCGGAGTGCGACTTACTTCACAAAGCGTTAACCGTAATAGGCTACATTGACCCGCGTTTCTGCCTTCGTTAAAAGCAACTATAAATCAGAACTGCCACTATGTCTAATAGTGTAACTGGGCCAGTCCACAACTACTCAGTGCTTCTGTATAATAGTACTTTAGGTGAACAGTCCCAATCGCCTGGAAACATACTGTAGTAGGTCAAAAAAGTATTCCAGTTTCTTTGTGAACTTAGAATAAGGATTAGTATACTAAATGATGTAACAAAATGTTGAAAATTTGCTTGTTTTTGTTGAGAAAGAATCGTTCTGTTTTAAAGGGTGTACGAGTACTTTTTTTTACCCTCTGTACGTAAATTTGCGAGTTCAGTAACATTAGTACAGTACCCCCAGACGCCTTAAAGACGACTTACACCTAAAATAGCCGTAAACTGGACGTCTATTTTATGTCTAAGGCGTCCTCAAGCCGCCCTCAAGGCGTCATCGGGCGTCACATGTTATCAGGGGTAGAACGTCGATTACAATGTCGAACAAATTTTAAACTTGGGTCTGTTTTGCAATATCCACTGGATGATCCTTGTAGAATATCTCGTACTAAACACGAATCCGCAAGCAGAATTGCTCTATCACCCTCAGTTATTGATAAACACGAATTTTTGTAAAAACGGACGATTTCGGGCAAAAATAGAGCATTACGTGAAATGTAAAAGCGCTAGAAAGTTCAGTTTGACTTCTCAAAGACAGAGGAGAGTTTCCTGATTATATTAGTATACATATACAGTTATTAAATTTTGTAATTCCAAATAGTTATAAATAGATGTGAAAGTTTAAAAAAGAGTCGCTGCGAGTATTTTCTACGCACTATTTCTGTATTTTTACGACAAGTTCTTTATCCAGCATCAATTCGCTACACCGTATCGGATTCTGCAGACATTTATGAAAAAGAAACCACCCAGAAAAAGTATCGAAATGGTTTTGTATTCAGAGAGGTTGAGAAAATATTTAATATTTAATATTTAATATTTACAATCTAATTGGCACCCACTTTTTATATGTATAATTTTTTATGTTTTTCATGCATTCTTAGATACTAGATACTAATCACGGAATTGTAAAGAACTTCTCCTGATCACTGTAAGTTTCAAACAATTTCGATGTTGAGTGCATGAAAATATGTATGACTTGTGAATATGAAGTTTATATATTAATATATGTTTTTATAACAGTCTTGCTCCGGCCAATGAATACTTCCACAATTCTGACCCGAAAAAAAAATTATTATTAACATTATTGCTATGATTATTATTTACTATTATTTATTACCATACATTAATATAAATAATAGTTATTTCATTATATCAAGTAGTACGCTCGAACTGCTTTCTCTATTCAAGTTGATTAACGGAATTATTGATTGCCTGCAACATTTAGAGTTGATATTTTTTCAATGCGTATGCGGCTTCGTTTTCCTTTTAACTAATTATATGTATATTTATATACACTAATGGGACTTGTCCCGTTTCTTTAAAAATAATAGTTAAAAATAATGTATGTAGAATATAATATAGCGTAACCAAAAAAAAGTCGAGAAAATATGTAATCCTTATTGCTTAACCTTCATCAATATACGTCATAAAAATTCTTGGTTCTCATTAATAAACATTAAAACGAAAGATAACACAAAAGTATATGTATAGGAAAAATAAAGAACATAATGGTATTCGTCTCATGTAGGCCGAATGTAATCATTATGATTACTTATTCAAGGAATGAAATTTGAATACACAAAAATCTAACGCTCGAAAAGTAAAAATATTCTGAATACTTCTACAATTTGTATTACATATTACTTTTGCACTGTCAATGTGCCAGACACTTCTTTGGAGATAGTCACATCGAAATGAATGCATCATATGCACTTTAACGAGATCTACAGATCTTGGAATGGTCGCTGCATCAACTTCCATTAAATAGCTATTATTATACGTATAGTTACACTAACTGTTACACAGTTTACTGAATTTAAACCTCTGCTACACATGTAGCGTAAAAGCCAAGTACAGATACATTTATTAAGGGTACATTCTCGTGTAAACGCGTGAAACAAACGCATTCTTCTGGATTTAAAGAAACGAAAACTATGACACTTAAGAGTAAAAATTCTTACTGGCATTTATAAGCGCACATCTTAAAATAATAAAAAACATTTGTTTCTGGTGTTTTTGTCCACGTAGCCTTAAATAAACATCAAGGTAGAGGTGACGCTTTGAAAAACAAAATTTTTTTATCGAACTTCTTCCTTTCCATTGCATCTCCTCGCCGTGTAATGAGATGAGTACCCTGGCATCTCAGTATCTCTCTACAGTACAACTATAACCGCATTTTAAACGCAAAGTCCAACGGTGGAAGGGACGTCTTCGTTCGATGACGATGAACTTCATAGTTTAGAATAAGTGTCAAGTTGAAAAATTAAATTGAATTAAAATAAATAAAAATAAAACAATTAATTTGAATAAAGTAAAATAAAATACTGGTAATTTAAAATAAATCAAAATAAAACAAAATTCATTACCATAAATGAAAATAAAACACACGTAATCAAAATAAATCAAAATAAAACACAGATTATTAAAATAAATCAAAATAAAACATAATTAATTTAAAAAAAAATAACAATTCAATAAAATAAGCTAATAAAAAAAAGGAGATTCGAATCAATTCGTCGAGTTCGCATAAGAGAGGGAGAACCTTTTGAAACTTGAAACCCCCTGACCACTGGCCAGTACTGGCCACCAATGACCAGCAGTGGTCAGTGATAGTAAAAAAAAAATTCGAACCTGTTAGTCAAGTTTGGATAATAGAGAGGACTCTCTGAATCCTCCCTGACCAGCGACCACCAATGGTCAGCAATTGGAGAAGAAGACGAGGGAGTGCCTCGAAGAGGTCCGTAGAAGATCCGAGTTCGCGAGGTGCGCGGACAGGTCCACGAGAATTGAGTTTACTGGAAATTCGAGTGCGCCAAAAATTATTTCTCGATTAATTTATTATTTCTAAGAAGGTACTAGGGGATATTGTTAAACATTTTGCCAGCTGTCTTATGATGCAAATTGTTATTGTTTATAACAAATATAAATCGAAATGTACAGAAACTTGTAAGATATGGATCATTTTATGAACTTTCACGTGAAATAAATTTTATTTTATTGCAAATTATTAAACAACGAGTATAGCTTAATGTTTATGGCAACTGTTAGCTAAATATTATTTCATTTAACTGTGCTTTGGTCGAGTTTTATGCGAAAAATACATAAAAATTTGTAAAGCAGTAGGAATTCTTCGATCGATGTTTGGTTGATCTTGTCCTTGACAATCGGTGGGAGATGTTCAACATTGTATCATCCATTTTACAATGCGAATTGTTAATAATTATAACATATAGAAATCGAGATATACAGAAACTTGCAAGATATGGATCGTTTTATTCACTTTCACGTGGAATAAATTTTATTTTATTGCAAATTATTAAACAACGATTATATCTTAATGTTTATGGCAATTGTTGACTAAACATTATTTAATTTGTACGTGCCTCAGTAGAATTATATGCAAGAAATTCGTAGAAATTTGTAACAGAGTAGGATTTTTTGATGGACGTCTGGTTGTTATTGTCCTTGACAACGACTGTTACAGTTTTAGGAACAGAATTTTTGGTTTACTCAATTCACGTGAGATTTTATCTCAATATATTAAATCTTTTCGGTAATGTAATATTTATAACAATCACATCTTTAGGGTATGTTGTTGAATGCTCCATCAGCTATTTTTCAAGGCAAATTGTTATTCATTATAACAAATAGAAATCGAGGTATACAGAAATTTGTAAGATATGATTTGTTTCATGAACTTTCACGTGGAATAAATGTTATTTTATTGCAAATTATTAATCAATGATTGTGTGTGAGTATTTATGGCGATTGTTAACTAAATATTATTTTATTTTTTTCAGAAAGAGAGCATCAATTCTCTCTATGCAAAGTGGCGAGTAACGCCGGGTGTTTTTTTTTTTACGAAGATTTTTGGAATTGAATATAATTCCCGAATGCACCGTTCTCATAACGTAGAGGGCAGCAGAAAATCATTATGGGTCTATTCTACAGGGTGTTTCGTTTAACTGAAAACGGTGGAATATCTCACGAAGGATTAAAGTTATCAAAAAAATGTTCCTACAAAAGTTGTTTGGTACAAAGGGGGACATTACGTGGTATAAATAATTTTTCTATAAGTGTAGTAGTGGGGGAGATATCAAAGTCAAGTTACTTTTTTTAAATGAAACCCTGTATTTTTTTAGTCATATTATGATAGTGTTTGTTGAGACGAATACAACGAACTGCCACATATCATTCCGAGTTGTAAAATATCATAAATTAAATACAAAGTAGTCAGATCAACACGGATCGTGTGTCGTCGGTCAGCTGAACTCTATGTATGTCACTGTGCCATCTACTCGTACCAGACCGATTGTTCCGTCTTTAATCAAATATTCCTGGTATGGAAACAATACCAATATTATAAATATAGCAAATATGAGGAATTAAGCATAAATAATGGATTTTAAATTTCACTTACCACTATCTAACTTGTAGTATCAAGAATTAATTAATAATTTTTTACATCATTTATCCTTCAACATGCGCACCGTCGTTACAGATACACGTTTCTATTCTGTTTAAAAATTCTCTTTCGACACTTTTCAACATCTTGTCTGTTATTCTTTCGCATGCGACTATAATCCTGTTTCGTAAATCATCTTAAAATCTTACTAATTTATCACTTCCTACTACAGGGACTGATATCATGTGGCAGTTCATTATATTCGTTTCAACAAACACTATCATAATATAAATAAAAAAATACAGGGTTCCATTTAAAAAAATTAACTTGACTTTGATATCTCCGCCACTACTACACTTACAGACAAATTATTTATACCACGTAATGTCCCCCTTTGTACCAAACAACTTTGGTACGAACATTTTTTTGATAACTTTAATCCTTCGTGAGATATTCCACCGTTTTCAGTTAAATGAAACAGCCTGTATACATTTGTATCTTGTCTTTGCTATTGTGTATTATAAAAATCGCAAATTATAATATACTTTTCTAAGTTTGATAATGCATTTATATGACAATTCAATTTAATTCAAAATTTAAAACAAACTAAATAACTACCTTTTTGTATTAAAAATTAATAAAATTGATATTCTAAGAATTATTGATTCTTTTTCATCGCATTCATACGGGTACAAAGTTAACTAATTCCTTATTCCTAATGTGACATTGTTTGCATATTTAATAAAAAATAGTGAAGGAAAAATCAATACATAGTGAAATATTATTATAAAATTCATGAACAAGAAGTGCACGATTATATAGTGCAACAATTATAATTTTATATTTCATATTCTTAAAAATAGACAAAATACTTTTATTTAATTTTACGTTTATATTAATAATTTATTATGGAACTACAGTTTTTTCACAATGCTAAAGGCAATTTTCATTGTAAACTGGATTCGAATAATAAAAATAATTGTTAAAAACAAGACAGCAGGCTTAAATAAATCAAATACAAAGTCAATAAAACACTTTAAGAGCTCAAATATCACTTAATATTTATCTTATTTGATCATTAATTTGTGGATTTAAATTTCAAAAGCGATGCAATGAGGCTGGATATTATTTTTTTGATATTACCCGTAACACCTATTGTCTTTTTGAGTAAATTGAAATTACAGTACGAAAGAATAAGTAATTGTAATAATTATAATTGAAATAATATAAATATTAAATCTATAATATGTTCATTAATTTATGTGCATGGGATATACTGATAAATCAAGAGTCAATACTTTACTTTCCAAACATTCGCCAACCTGAAATTTTAAAAAAGAGCAGTTAGTTTGATAAGCATTGTATGCTTCTACATGTAAAAATATGTTTATGAAATATATAGTCATAAGCTTACATCAGGGCAAATACCAATTAACGCATCAGCATGAGAATAAAATTCTTCCTTCAAAGATATAACAATAGTCTGTAAAGAGGTTGTCTTATCACGTATATAACTTGCAACTTTTCCTATATTAGTATTATCCAATGCAGCATCGATTTCATCCAATACAAAGAATGGTGCAGGTTGAAAACTGTAATGATAGTTTATAACGTTAATATAATGCCGAAATATATCTCACACTCTTGCTATAGACGCCGTACACATGCGGCTTGGAAAATGAATCGTTGAATGTGAACATCGAGTATATACGATAATATCATATATATTTATGCAAGGTGTCCCGTAACTGATGCTACAACCGGAAAGGTAGTGATTCTACGTCAAAAATAAAATGAAAATATACAGTAAATATTTTTTGTAAAAGGTTCCGGTTCTGAGATAATTGAGTTTTATTTTTGAGGTATAGTGAAGCAAGCATAATATCTCATGCCACCAGTTACAGGACACCCTGTATATAATAATGTTCGTTAAAAATATATTCAATTTATTCAGTTAAACTTAAATAAAAGCGTTCAAATTTACGTGTAAATTATTTAACCGAGTAGCTAATATAATCTGAAAAATTGATAACTGCGTATCATAGAGTTACCTATGAATTGCAAACAATAGAGCCAACGCAGCAACCGTTTTTTCTCCTCCAGATAAATTAGACATTGGTTGAAATCGTTTTCCTGGCGCAACACAGTTATAATTAATACCATCCAAATATGGTTCCTCTGGATTTTCTGGACCAAGAAATGCTTGGGCAGATTGATTTTTTGCTAAACTCTAAAATAATAACAATTTTAATGTATTATTTACACGTAGATATAAGAATTATGTATAAGAACTGTTTATACAATGTAACCTTGTAAATTGGATCGATTTCATTAGCCACATGCTCAAAGCAAGTCATGAATCTATCGTGCCTCTCTTTTTTTATTTTCTCGAATTGCGTTTTTGCTTTTTTTGCCTTTTTCCTAGACTGTTCGAATTCTTCATTAGTCTCTTGTAATTTCTCTTTAGCGAGATACAATTTCTGTATCGCCTAAAAACGTCATAAATACTTCAACATTAAAAACATGTCTCTTCCTATAGTTAGGTTACACATTAAGCTATTGATTGTTATAAATATTACATTAGTAGCTAGATTATTATTACCTAGTACCTCATTCTTATTTTATTTTATGTTTAATGTGGTTTTATTTATTTTCATGTTTGATATATATTAATTACTAATCTATGCACACTTATAAATATATGAGAAATGTATTTTCCTGTTTACAATACAGGATATATCATATATGAAATTATTCCTTACCTTCATATTAGGAGCTTGAATCCGTTGAATAGTACTTTGTAAATCGTTAATCGTTTTTGTTAACTTGTCAGTAGTTTTTTTAATATCGTCTTCGTCTACATCTTTTAAATTTTCAGGAAGAAGGGCATAATCTATTGTAATTCGTTTCTCACGCTCATATTGTTGCTGAGTACTTACAGACGTATCAGTATTCATTTCTGAGGTATTTGTGCTTGTTTCGTTAGCAATATCTTCCATATTTCCGTGAAGCATTGGAATTGCGACATCCTCCATCTAAGTATTATTATTACTATTTTATCATCTTTATATGTATTGTCTGGGTTAGGTCATTTAATATTCATGTTCTGATAACCGAGTGACTGGCAACCCGTTAATGAACACATTCACCAAACTGTTTACGCAACAACAAAGCGAACATATATGTATAAAAACAACTTTTAACTGTACAAATCTAATTACAACATTCCCTCCTCACAATGGCGTTTTATTAATCTCCTTGTAACTGAAACACCATCCGCACTATCATATATCATAGGGATACATAACAACAGACGGTCTCTGATATAGATTATAACAACTTATAAGCGATTATGAGAGAGAAATACATATAGTGATAAATGAATTAGATGTTATACATGTTTGTATAACCAGACACATAAAGGTATGATCAATCAAACACATTATTATCGTGACGCGTGAGCTTAAATGGACTCATGTCTCCCTTAAACACGTGATACCATGCTTATACCTGCTTTCACGAGTATTAACTACCTAATAACATACATGTATGAATTCACAAAACATATCATTGTTGCGCACGTCACTTAAATTTAAAGAGATTTCATATTTGTTTCAATAAATTATTAGTTCAAAAAAAATATGTACTACTAATCATTCAAACAATTTATCTGAATTTGAAGAGAAGGTATTAAGCTCATGAAGGATGTCGCCATGAATTAATAAAGATAATAGTGTCTTCTGACAAAAGAATTACGAGTAACAGTAAGTCTGACACTCATCCCAGAATCTCGAAACGTGAAAATCACTCTCTAATGAAAACTATAATAACATTGATAACATACGATCTTACATAACGATTAATGCCTCTCGTCAATAATTTTCTTAGTCTGGACATTTTGTATGTTCATGTGAGCTCACGTAATGTAATAGTTAAGTTCCTACATATCTTAAACGTCGCTCGTTTTTGTTCCTTCTCCCTCAAATGTCACTATTACTCTTTCTCGCAATCGGCAAGACACAATAAAACTGTCACAGATTTTTCTTCGCTAGATTTTATAATCATGTTGACAGTCCCGAGCGGTACGACTATAGGAAACTAAAATTATACCTTTATTTCATTTCGTGACATACCTTACATTGCATTAGTATAGCATGACGTTCAGCTTTCTTCTGCTCAATTTTCGTTTCAATACCATTCAATTGTTTTTGACCAGCTTGTATATCTTTCGCAATTGTTCCAACCTCACGCCTGGCTTTGCCTATTTCATCATCCTTTTGATCAACTTCCATTTTCTTTGCATTTCGTGCTGATTTTAATTGTTCCATTTGAGTCTCGTCATGATCTATTTCTGCTTTCTGATTGGATTCAGTTTGTCGTGCAGATTCAAGTTTATCTTCTGCATCTTGAACTGCCCGTTCCCAACGTAAAACATTACCTAATACAGAATATATGAAGGAGATTTTAATGAATATACTAAGATTTATTTAACTATTATTCAAAAATGAAAAACTATTTAAACGCCTCAAAAGATAAATGTAAAAATATAATATCTCGTTTTAAAAAACGAAAGTGAATTTTTAATTATGTAAATGCGCCATTTAGAATAATTCCATTATGCATATTTTCCTTCTACTATGATACTTGTAAGGGATTAACCCTTTCGGTGCTATGGGCACTTCTTCTTGTAACTTTCAAACAGTTGCCCATGATCTACTTTCGAGGATACTTCGGTGATTTACAAAGCCTTAAAAATCCATAAAAACCATTTGGATTTAATAGTTATACATATATGTAAGAAATGACAGTGAGGACGAAAACAATTCAATCTAAATATATAGAGCGATAGTGGTGATAGTAGTGAATCTGAAAATACATTTTCAAAGACCTTTTTTAGGTCCATAACATATGGAACATTTAATATCATTAAGTTTCCTTAACATATTTCCATATTGAAATAAATTGAATTTTAAAATTAATATAATTTAAAAATATGTGTGTAATGAGTCTGTAAATATAACATATGTATGTGAACTCTATAGTTCTATTACCCCACTGAAGGCTTTTTTGTTCTAAATCTGTAGCATTACAAAGTATCGAACTTGCGAGTTCGATTTAAAATTAAAGAGCTTCCTTTACGCTAACTTAAAGTATTCAGCGCTAGATTGAGTGCATCATAAGTAGAAAAAAATTATTCTCAAAAGTATTTGGCACCAAAAGGGTTAAAAGATGTCATAGCTATTATCTTATTCTATGTTAGTAGAATTATTAAACTTTAGAAAAAAGAATTGTACTTACTCTCTGTGTCACGTTGTCTTTCAAAATCTAATTGATTGTGAATACGATTACACTGATTTTCAAATTCCATTCTCTTTTTTGCTCTTTCCTGTTGCGACCTAAAATTTTATATTATAACAATAAAACTTTTCTAGAAAATGTTATAATATATTATATAAAGGATTGTGCATATTTGAAGAAACAAAGATATTGATATGTTCCAAAACTACTCAAGTGACTTGTCAAACAATACTCCAACCTAAATTCTCTATAATTTTTATAGGATATTGTAAATAATGAAAAGTATCTCATTACGATCACTGAATACTACGTTAAAGCAAAAATAAAAATAATAGCATATTGGATTGTACAGGTACAATGTAAAAAGAAAGATCAAGTCGATATAACGGTAAAAAAGTTGTATTATATGTATAGCCATATTTTAAAGAAATATTTCTCGACTTGTTTCTTAATGTGAACCTTGCGTTTTCAATAACTGTCGAACAATATATTAGCCAAAAATTTGATGTGTTGTTACTGTTCTCACTTGTTTTCGCACCAACTACTTCCAACTTATATGGATATCTGTGTACCTATATCACTGTAAAAATTTGTTCTTATATTTTGCTCTTACACTTTTATTTTGCTTCATGCCCATACCTAAGAAAATATACTTAGGTATAAACTAAAAACGTAAGAACATTGCTACATCACTGTATTCTTTTTACCAAATGTACATTATAATACTATACAATGTATAAAGGAATTCTGTAAAATTGAAATTAACATTACATACCGTAATTCTCTTTCTTCATACTGACGAATGTTAGATACACCTATTTGTTCACAAAAACTGGCAAACACATCATCCTCAACATTATTCATTTTTTCTTTAATATTTTGTATTTCTTGATCTCTCTCAGCCATAGTTTTTTCAATTGCAGTTATTGCTGGCTATATATACAAGTTTTATAAATGCGATTACAGTCCTTGGTGATTGTCAATATGTAGACAAAAATGTATCTATACTTACACCAAACATATTTAATTCATTTTGAAGACCCTCTAATTCTGTCTCAAGTTCTGAAATTTGCTTTTGCTATAATAAATACAATATAATATGTAATTACTTGCTAAAACAAACTGAAGTACAATTGTCATATTATATATTACGTTACTTACAGTGGCAGCCAAGTCACTTTTATTATATTTTAACCGTGTTTCTAATCCACGTATTTGAGATTCAACTGTATTCAATTCAGATTCCTTTCGTGATTTCTTCAAAGATTCACGTAATTCTTCTGTTAATTTTTCCTATGAAATATTTGGAATACATTGCGTTATAGTTTTATGTCAAAATGAAAGTACATATACATATCAAACAAAAATGCCATACTTTCTGGGCTTTAAGTTGAGACATTTGTTTTTCATCCCACCGTTTTGCTTTCTTTGCAAGGTCCAAACTACCACCAGATATAATTCCAGCCTTTTGATAGAATGTCCCATCTAATGCAACACACTGCAATTACAGACATACAACATATATGTATACATATCTAATTACGATTATGGTTAAAAAAGATATGTAATTAATATTCATACATCATATCTTGCTTTCTTATCCATTTCATAAGCTACTTTATTCGCATCTTCAGGTGTTTCACATACGAGAGCATTATTTGTTGCAAACAATACTGCTCTGTCAATATCCTTCGGAGAAAAATGTAACACATCATACAACAATTTTACGTTTCTGGGTTCTTGAATGTTTCTAAAAACAGTACAATGTAAATACATATTTTGAAGTGTAACAATGACTAACTATGCTAAAGTATGTTACATTTTTAAAGTACAAAATTAATCACTGCAATGTTATATGCATACCTTAGTCTTTCTTTCAATGGTTTTGCTTGAATGTAATCGAGAGGAAGAAACGTTTCTGGTTCAAGATACTGTTCTTTGAGATACTGAATACACTGTCTAGCTGTTTTCTCAGTATCAACAACAATTGCTTCCATATATTTTCCGAGAACTTTTGTAATTGCAACATTATACCTCTTATGAATAGGTTCACACATGTTATACATGCGATCATACTGAAAAGTTACAATAATAATTCCAATTATACATTGACAAGGATAAAGCCAATGCAATGATTTACTTACCACTCCAGGAAAAAGGCGTTTAAAGTTTTCTACAATTTCAGTTTTCTTTTTAGTTCTTGATACTTCATGTTTATCAACTTTCGCATCACCTAATTGTTCAGAGATGTTTTCTAATTCTCGTTGAATATTCTGTATTTTATCTTTTGAGGTACCGACATCTGATTGCAAATCAGCTCGCAATTTTTTCTGATCCTCCAACGCAGCTTCGGATGTTTTGATATGTTCCTCCAGTTTTTCTACTCTTTTTAGGGCTTCGTCGCGCATATGACCTTTTTGTTTCTGCTTATTTTCTATTTCTGTTTTCTTTCGACCTTCATTGTCAAGTCTATCTTGATCTGACTTCTGTTCTCGATTAATGGAATCAAGAAGTTGCAAATATCTTGCAGATTGTTTGCCTGCTTCTTCTTTCAAACGATTGTACTCCTTAACCTTAAATTAACGTTACAGTAATTACTACAAACAATACTTTCACGTATTTAAAAATTTACTTTATCAGAACTATTACAATAAATACTCTCTAGAACTATTACAATAAATCTCATGTACAACATTAATATTATTTCAAAAACTATCATTAAATCTACTGGATGAATTTTATTTAAAGATATACCTGTTCATCTTCCAGTTGCACGTCTCGTCCCTGTAACTGTGATTGTCCAGCAATGCTTGCTTCGTAGGCAGCTTTAGCTTCTTCTACTTGACGTAATTCCTCTTGAAGTTCATTAATATCTTTCTTATGTGCTTCATCTGCAATACGTGCTTGAGCTAAAGATTTCCGTGCTGACTCTACTTTCTTCTGCATATGTGCCACGCGCTCTTTAGCTTTAATAAATGTGGGTCTTTTCTTTGTAATTTCTACTTCTACTTCTCTAATATCTTGCTCAATTTTAGCAAGATCTCTTCCTAATTTTCCAGCTTCCTTCTTTTTTTCTTTTAATAATTCTTCTGCTTTCTCCTTTTTCTTCTCAATTTTTTCTATCTCATGTTGCTTCTTTTTCTGTGAAACTTCGTAACTTTCTGTGCTTTTTTCATTATGAAACAAACGAAACAATTGTAACTCAACTTGCTTTTCTACCTACAATAGGAAAGATAATGTAATTAAGAAAATATTACAGTTTACTTATGCACAAAATGTTTTTAGGCACATAACTCTTTAGTTTTTTTTAGAAACTGATTGGTACTACAAATTAAATACACTTAACTCTGTTTTTACACGATAGATACGTTCCCGAAAAATCTGTATAAAAAAAGATACCATGCATATGAAGAAATGGAGCATTGTCCCTCAAGACCACAAAAACCAGTAAAAACGATATGATAAAATGATTAAGATTTTTTTTAATTAAGAGCATTTTTCTAGAAGAACAAGTATAAATATTTTTCCTTAGAATTAAAAGTAAATGCAGACTTTTAAAACGGCAAATTTATAAGACTGTGTTAAATCAAAACAAATCATACAAAAATATAATTAAGTTTTTTTCTAGCCAGAGTTAAATCAAAATCGTGTAAAAAAAGAATTAGGCAATATAACGAAAATAAACAAATTAAGTATGTACATATTCTTCCTTCAAACGTTGATACTTTTCTGCTTCTTCTTTTTCCAGTTTTGCTTCTTTCCGTTCTGCAGCAATTCCCTTTTTCTTCTGATACGAAAACTGTGTTTCTTCTTCTGCTTTTAACATTTCTGTCCTTAATCTGTAATAATTGATATTTCAAAATGTGGTGTCATATATTATTAATTTAGTTTCATTGGAATACACATTACATTTAAATCTACCCTTTAGATAGCATATTGTTATCTTATTTTACTCGTTTTACCATTTTCTAATGTTCTTATTCCATGAAAACACTTTCTTAAAATTGTTCCCTCTTTCTTTAAACAAAATCACATGCAGCAGACAATACACATGATATTTGCGAATACTAGAACGATTTTGAATCGAGAAATATTTAAATTCTACATGCTTTGCTTTTTTTATCTGTAAGTAACATTCAAAATGTTTGTATAATGCATTCATAAATCTAAAGTTGTGAATCCAAATTCTGTACTTCATACAAAAAATTTATTTAGAATTATTAATGACCAAAATTTATGGGAAATACTGACGGTAAACACATTCTTTCTTTGATACGTATAATTAATTTTTAATGATTTCATAATTTGATCAGATTCCTTACAGAAAATACTGAATGGTGACAAATAAATAACTTTTTCCATAAGATTAAAATGAAGATACAAACAATTACTTTAACAAAATTTTAAAATACAATAAACTGTTTTCATGCCAGAAAGAAAATATCTTATTCTCTGTTATTATCGTTCCATTTATCTACAGAAATTACCTTTCATATTCTGCCTTTAATGCTCCTGAATTACTGATTTCTTCAAAAAGTGCTGTTCGTTCCTTTGGATTCTTCATAGCTATCGATTCAACAGCTCCTTGGAATACAAGAAAATTTTTTGCTTTGACATTAATACCAAGCTGTTCTAACTCATTCAAATATACTTGACTTGTGACAACCTATATAATGAATATAAAAACTGTGTAACAAGATCTTTCTTGAAATAGTCATACAATAATGTTTTTTTATTGTTAAACAAAATTATACCAACATTATTGTTTATTCTGTGCTCTGAGGAAGACCCTTGCACAGAACGCATAAAACTTTTCTCACTGCCATCTTCTAGTTCAAATACAGCAGTTACAGAAGCACTGTAATTTTAAAAAATTCTATTAAAATATATCTTAATTTTATGGTTACATACTTTTCTTGAAATCATATTATATTAATTATTTATATATTTATGTTTGTAACTATTACTTTTAGATTGCTGTAAAATTTGTTTGTATGTATATGTTAAATACACTTGAAAATAAAATTACATAACAGAAAGTAAAACTTTTTAATTGACACCTGACATATATTTACATTTTCCTACATATAATTCACTCTTTCTCCACTCGTTTTAAAGTATCAAATTCTTAGAAGTCATTAATTGTATATCATTTTAGATATCCATTACGCTTTCCTGTTAATCTTTTTGCATTCCAGAACTGTCAGAATAAAAGATTATTGAAAAGAAATTGTCAATTGAAACTAAATAACTACTTAAAAAAAATTTACATTAAAATAATAAGTATTTTACATCAACCTTGTATTATATTCTTTTATCCACTTATGTATGATCTAACGATCTATACTTTTAAAGCATACATTTTGAAAACTAGTAATTATTTTATTACAGTTATGTAACTTTGTTTATTATTATTATTATTATTATTATTATTATTATTATTATCATCATCATCATATAAGTGTGTTCAACATGCATTAAAATTTAAAATATTTACAATAGTGGTAGAGAAGCTGAAATGAAATAAATAATGGTAGCTCAAATATAGTCTAATCATTGTAGATGTACAATTAGTTTCAGCCAAAGACCAACATTATTTAGGGACACAAAAAAGATGGACAAAACAAAACTGTTTTTTCAGAAACTATAGGGAAATAGAAAATAGGAATCAATAAGTTTTGAATCAGTATTATATTAGCTAAGAAAGAATACCCAAAATATATTGTTTCATTAAGCAACTTAAAATACAAGCTCATCTAATGTCTGCTTTAGTACTTAATTTAATATTTTGTACATTGCTTCCGTTATATGGTAAGATTTTCAGATTGCAACTTCAATGTTATCATTTTGACACAAAGATTAATGGAATATTACATATTTTTATTATTGACTTGTGCCTAGTATTTCTACACATTGCATTATTAAGTAAATACAAATTTAGAAGCATGGAACACCTAAAACCTTGTCAGCATATAATATTAGTAAATAATATACTATATAGTAGATAGCAATGATTGTACGATAATATAAGTCGATAATATAAAGTCAATTTGTTTCAGTTTTAGGCTTATCGATATTTGACTGCAAACAACTAGAAATACCTGCGGGAAACTGGCATTCCTATTGATGCTCCATGAATCAGCTCACTAAAGCGTTTCACACGCAAACTGCTTGTTTTTTCTCCCATAACAAAACTGATTGCATCCATAAAATTGGACTTTCCTATTTTATAAAGATTATATGTAATATATAATGAACTCAGAACTAAAAACTGCCGTTACTACTAATAAAAACATAACCTACCAGAACCATTTGGTCCAACAACAGCAGTAAATGATTTCAAAGGACCTATAATAAGTTTCCCTTTGTAGGACTTAAAATTTTCTACTTCGATATGCTTTAAAAACGCCGGCATTTTTCACGTTAATAAACAATAGTTTACACGTAACAACAAAGTGGCGTAATTGCCGCCATAAAGTTTTCAACGCAAACAAGCCAAACAAGCTCTATACATCAACCATAGACATATATAATAGACTGCGCGGTCTTATGGTAGGGCTGAAGTTGACATACGAGAGAGAGGGCACCAACTGGAGCAGCTACTTCTCTTTCTAATGCGGCTGTTGGTGGGGGATTCTCCTACAGCCTACGGCCCTACGCACAGTGGGCAGATCGAAGAATTAGGTGTTCACAACTGTTTTAACGTTATTTCAAGACTTAAGGTATATGGTCAGTCATAAGCTACCGGCCCTTATCACCAATGGTGCTAAAGTCGCATTTTTCGACACATGTACTTCTATGTTGTGCCATGTAGTCGGCGGATAAAACACGTTTTGGCGCTGGAGGAAGTTTAAACCGATGGCCATTTAAATTTTGTTTTCTGTTGCAGGTGGTTGCAGGAGGACTACAAATTTGCAGAAATGGTGCGTTATTGTGTTCCTGATTGCAGAAGCGCGAAGAGCAGAGTTAAAACCTATGTTTTACCGAAGGAGAAAGAGGTAAGATTATACTTAAAACCAGTTTTTGTAATTTGATTCATATTACAAATTTTCTCCCAATAATAACGAAGGGTCGTTCTACGTGAAGTCTAGCACTTTTTGGGTAATATTTCGGATTTTGTTGAAACTTGGATATATTGTAGCCTTTAATGATATACGAACATATCAAAGGATTTTAAAAAATTTGTTAAATTGTAAAAATTAATTATGTTTCAGAGACGAATAAAATGGTGTTTGGCCATATGTAGGCTGGATTTAATCGACGTCCATCCATCTAGACGACATGACTACCGTGTGTGTGAATTACATTTCACACCGGAATCACTGTACGCTAGTCATCACAATAAAACAGACCTGAAGTATGACAGTGTCCCCACATTGTCTTTGCCAGGACTGCAAGGAAAATGGATGGACACAGGTATGTATTTTTTCCACAATAAAGGACGACTTCATTTTAAAGGCTAAGGATTAGTATTATGTTTTATTTTTATATAATTTACATGCAAATGTATTTTTCCCTTCAATGTTACTTATTTTTTAGATGAAATGATGCAACCAGAAGATGGCACATCTATGACTGTGGAAAGCCAGTTTGAGGAACTGGGTAAGCTTTTTTATATTATAGAATAAATCAATTTTCATGAAATTTATCTGTGCACATACTTATAAAGCCGATTTCACTTATTTTTTAGGTATGAAGCAGTCATTTGATGTTTCTGACTTACATCCAGGGTCATCAATGACTGCAGAAACCCAATTTGAGGAACTGGGTAGGTTTTTTTATATTATAGAATAAATCAATTTTCATGAAATTTATCCGTGCACATACTTATAAAGTCGATTTCACTTATTTTTCAGATATCAAGCAGTCATTTGATGAAGATGCTTGCCGCTTACAGGCATCGGGTACCCCTGTTAGCTGCTTTAACACCTCAGGTATGAATTACATATATAATTCACATTACATATTTCACACATTCCAAATATGTTGTTACAATTTAGAACAATATACAGTCCGAACAAGTGCTTCGGAGGTATCTGTCATTAAAATTCCGCGGAGAATTCAATCGGGTGGGAGCGAATCAGATGTTGGGTTTCAGGTAGATGTGACGTAAGTACATTGCATTTCGTGTATTGCACGTAATGGAATGGTCGTTCTGTGTTGCCCCGTGAAGCATGAACACATTACCTCGATCAGAGCATGTATGACCGAGCTGTGTTGAGAGGGTGGACAGGTCTTATGATCGTTCTTGGATGTACAGTAGGTGTGGTGGTTGGAGTAATCTTTGAAAAGATGTGAATATTCGGGGGAGGGATAACGGTTCTTGACGCGGTCAAGTCGTTAGCTTGATTCACTGAATAATATGGGCATGAACTTTTAATGAATGAAATCTAATCTTTGTTTGCATTTTATTTTCTTTGATGTTTCTTTGTTTCTATTTTCTTTAATTTTTCTAATTTTTTTAATTTTTCTATTTTCTTTGATTGTTCTATTTTGTTTATGTTAACAATACTAATAATTTAATAATCAAAAGCTATAAGTATTATTTTCTATTTCGTTTAAAACTAAGGTCAGGTAGTAACATGTACTTTTCTGTTTTAGGTCGCAAAAGGAATCTTAATTTATTAAGATCCCTTGGTGTTCGCAGTTCAGCTGCGTTGACATCCAAAGCTTTGAAATTGTATAAAGTTGTCACGAATTTAAATAGAGTTAGGAAACGTTTACAGTTCAAAAATGAAAGTATTAGACGTAGAATCTCTAAGGCTTCAAAATTTGCGGAATCCCAAATATTCTTAGAATCAAAATTAAATAAAACGTGTGCAACATTTTTGATTAGTCAATTGCGTTTGCAATCTAAAAAATCCAAAGGACGTAGATTCACCCTCCAGGATAAAATTTTCGCGTTGTCGTTAATAAAGCAAAGTCCTAAAGGATATAGACTTTTGCAGCAAGTTTTTGCTTTACCTTCTCGCGTTACCTTATTGAAAACACTGCAGCACATTCCTTTTCAATCTGGCTTGAATAAGCGCATACTCGACACCCTGAAATGCGCTGTGTTAAAAATGAGGAACCCCCTCGATCGAATGTGCACTCTGTTTGACGAAATGGCATTAGAGCCATCTTTGTCATACAATTCGAGAACAGATTCGATCGACGGGTTTGTAGACTGCGGAGAAGGCAAAGTACTACAATTTGCTGATCATGCTATGGTTTTTATGATCCGCGGAATTAAAAAGAAATTTAAACAACCCATAGCATATTTTTTTACATCTGGAGCTATGAAGTCTGCTCATATCGCGCGGAACATTAGACTGATTGTCGACAGTCTACGGGAAATTGGGCTCAATGTGGATGCTCATATCGCGTGGAACATTAGACTGATTGTCGACAGTCTACGGGAAATTGGGCTCAATGTGGTTGCAACTGTGTGCGACCAACATGCAGCGAATGTATCGGCAACCAGTGCGTTGATTCAACAAACTGACGCGGAATACATGCGAAAAGGTGCCCAGAAGAAACATGTAGGCTTCGAGGTGGGTGGAAGAGTGGTTATTCCACTCTTTGACCCACCACACCTGTTGAAAGGAATTAGAAATAATCTCCTAGTAAACAAGGTCAGGTTTACCTGGAAGCGGCAAAACCAAGTGGGATCCTGGACAGATATTATGCAGCTATATCACATTGACACCGGTGATATCGCAACGCGTATGTGTTATAAACTGACCGATTTGCATATTTATGTCAATAAAATGCGAAAAATGAAGGTCAGTGTAGCTGCACAATTGGATACGGACGATCCGCGGCGTACAGTACTTGTGGAGAAATTTCAAGTCTGAAGGCTTCAAATTTCTCTATTTAAGAAACTTTAATCAAGATCCGCTTGAAAACTTGAATGTGTCTTATAATAAATTAAATATGAGATGTTCGCAATTTTAAATATATTTTATAAATTTATTGCATGTTGTATGTATTTTGTGTAAAATTTTGAGCATGACAGTGAGTGACTGACGACTACTGTGTGGGATCGTGTATGATAAATTTATGTTATAATAAATTTGATATTAGTTTAAAAGTTTAAATCTGTTTATTATATTTATTACATAGTGTATCTTTATATAATGTAAAATTTTGAGCGTGACAGTGAGTGACTGGCGGCTACTGTATGGGATCGTGTGTGATAAATTTGTGTTATAATAAATTTTATGTTAGTTGTTTGCAATTTTAAACATGTTTATTAAATTTATTACATAATATACGTATATTATGTAATAGATTTAATAAACATATTTAAAATTGCGAACACCTAATATCAAATTTAAAAAGGAATAGACCACCGAAATTCTTCGGCACGCGTCAACACCGAAGGAGAGCACCGATACCGCGATTCGCTCGCACGCCGTAACGTCACTCGATTCCCGGAATCCCGCGGTTACGAGATGGCTCATTACGGTAAGGCATTCCCGCAAGGGAAATTGTAAGCCACCAGCCAAAAGGTAGATTTCATAAATTATTTATGAAACTACATCTATTCTGAATTTATCTGTTACAAATATACAAATGTAAAGCAAGATATAAAAACGAATAAAACAAGAACATGTAAAAAGTAACATTAGTAAAATGTCCATTAACGATGCATTTAGAATAAATTGTCTTGTAGTTAAGTTAAGTGAAAAAATATATACTTTTCCGTTTCATGTTTCATGACTGTCATATTTATCCCTTAACCTTAACCTGAAGCATCGGATATTTTTATTCTCGTGAAATCATATAGATACACGTAATATGAATAGAATATATAACACTTCATTTGTGCTAATAATACTCAGAATTCATGCTTTATCGGTAACGTCGGGTATTGACACTAAAATGGTAACAGGGCTACGTACCCTATGAACGTGGGACAGAAAAAAGCATTGGATGATAGGTCTATTCCATACCTAGTCGGTGCTGCTTTTACAGAATTTAAATATTAGCGCGCTATACAACCAACAATATGGCGATTGTTCGACGCCATAGACCACCATAAACGTAAAAACAACTTTCATCTGAAACAATTTTCACTAAATAACATTATTATACTTACGCAGTAATCAAATAATATAAATGAAGCACGTCTCCGGATCCGAATACTTGAATCTAATAATAAGTCAAACAAATATCCTAATATCTGAATATAAGTTTTATGGGTATCCGAGTATTCGAATATTCGAGAATCTAAGTAATTCTAACAGCTCTCTACTTCCAATATAAAATTTTCCTTTTGAATAACCAGTTTTTACAATGACACATCATACCAAATTTTTGCATCTTCTGGTGGCTTAGTATTTGATGAAACTTCATTGTCTTTTAGTAAATATCATAATAATCAAGTAAAATTGAAAAGATATTTTTTTTCGATGAAGAATGAACAGGTTTTCTCCTTTTACCAAATATTTCACTGCCATACGAAGTTTGTTAAGACCACGTGATTTTCCTTGGACGAGATACTTACTTATATCTTTGACACGAATAAACAATATTTTTATGACACCACTGTATAATTTTTATTTTAGAAAAGTAAATATAATGTAAAACAATATCAAATGAACAAATTAAATTGAAATGTAATCATTTGTACATTTTATTTTCCTTATAATCTTTATTAGTTTTAGACAGTATTTAATAGTTAGTCGAATATGTAACATAAGCTATTACTTTCTTCTATGAAAATTTGATTTCTCTTGTTCATTTGTCTCTTCTGTTCATAAAAAGAAAACTTATCAAATGAAATGTAATAATAACAAATACCTACTTTATACTTATTAGTTAGGTATAAAACAATGTTCATATTCAGTATTGTATGATGTGTAATGGTTGACGTTTATAAGAAATACAATAAGAAAACTATAGGTACATACTAAGTAGAGAATATTTCTTTTACATATTAGATAAATATCTGATAATGGTACAACAAAACTGATAAGTTAAGGTGTCAGCATATAATAAATTAACACAGTGAATCTACTACATGACATTTAATAATATGCTGTTTAAAGTTTAATCTTATCAGCTAAAGAACAAGAAAGTCCTGTGTTATCCGGTTCAACGTTCAATTCTTTAACCACACCATTTTCAAGAACCATTGAATATCGTTTACTTCTTTTTCCACCCAATACAGGCAAATCCACAGAAAGTTCTAATGCATCTGTAAACTGACATGTAGGATCTGCTAACATACGGACCTATTTTGGAAAAGTATAAAAAACATACTTCGATTAGTAATAGTTTCTTCTATTTGCACTTTATGTATATGTATACATCTGAATTTCTAATACCTTCCCTTCTGCTCCATGTTCTTTACCCCAAGCAGCCATTACAAATGGATCGTTTACAGCAATACAAAAGATTTCTGCAATTCCTTTGGATCTTAAAGCTTCCGCTTTTTGTATATACCCTGGAAGGTGTGTCTAAAACAATATACGGATTAGTTATATTATTATAAATAAATCATTATTTGAATATAATTCATTTAGAAAAATATAATATACTTAAAAAAAAAAGATATTTCTGTACATTTTGTTATATTTGATTTTAATTTATACGTATTACATTGACTTGTAACCATATTATTTTATATCCTTCTGCAGGCCAATTATGTCATTTATGCATAGAGAACAACTAATATTATTGCGCCTCTGACAATAAAATGATATTGCAACTAAAATTTTGTTGACAACTAATGTATAAAAGTATAAAGAATTTTAACAAATATAGAACAAAAATAAATTAAAGTGTAAAAATTGGAGAATTTACATTACACATTTTTTTGTAAATGGTATCTAATATGGTATAATATGAATTAAAATTTTTACAGTAATTATAATATTATTACTATAAAATATACTTTTCAATTAATATAGTAGTTAACTAACAGTATTTAGAATATATGTGTGAAAGACTTATGTTTATCTAAACGAATGTTATTTAGTCACAGTTACAGCTTTCCTACTGAATGCAAACTAGAAGTTACTTTCTGATGATATTATTAAGAAATATGCATCAGAAAATTCAATATACCTTTGAACATCCTGGTGTAAAAGCCCCTGGTACTGCAAAAACAACAATTTTCTTTCCAGATGCAATTTTTGCAAGATTCACTTTATTTGCCGGTGAATCTTCGAAAAGGTCAACGGCGGGGAGCTTGTCACCGACCTGAGTAAATCAAATGCGTAATTTATTGAAACACATACATAGTAATGACTATAATAACATTTTCGTAACTGTAATAAATATGATAATACACTGTGATTATTTGTTTTGCTATCAATTAAGAATCAAACGAATTATTTCTAACCAACTCACAGAGATAACCATGTTTTGGGACGATGTACGAAATCCTTTCACAAAACAACTAAATGACGATCGCTCGCCAAGAAAAATGGCTCGATTTATAAGCAGGTTCATCTATGGTATGATTATCGACGTGTGAACCAATGAATCAACTGTTTTTGTTGGAATGAAATACTATAGATTTGACTCGTCTCTGGTCGATGATCACCAACCGGCTTGATGAATGTCAATGTTGCGCAATCTTTTCTATGTCCTATATACATAAATGTAATCGTCCTTTTTCATACCGACAAATAGTTGGCGCCGAATATTAATGTTTCTCAACAATTTATATCTTAAAAAATTGCTCCCAATTTACTCCCTCGGAATCTAAAATTGCTCCCATCGCACCGTTTATATTTAATGAGATATTCGCAAACGAAAAAGCAAAAATTTTTACAAAGTCTTTTTATACAAATCTTATGGTATCAAAAAATTCCTCCTGATCTGTTTTATAATAATCAATAGTCAGATATCTCAATAACAACTTATTAATGAGGAGCAAACGAAATATTGTTGTTGCATAGAGGTTGGATATTACGTCATACGGTAGGCGCTCGTTTGTTGCAGCCTTCGTGGCTGACAGGGTCAGAATTCCAGAAATATTGCAATATCTCATTAAATATAAACGGTGCTATGGGAGTAATTTCAGATTCGGAAAGAGAAAATCGGGAGCAATTTTTTAAGATATAAATTGTTAAGAAACACTAATATTCGTCACCAACTACGATGGAAAACTCAGGTCCTTGACCAACGAAAAAATTATTGCTGCTAAATAATAAGCGTTTCCATACTAAACAACTTCTGTGAATAAACCTTTCTGATATCTTTAAAAATGACGGAGATAATTAAGATGATCGTAAAATGCGTATATCCAACCCACCCTATATATAGGTGCGCGCGTAACTGAAGGTCGCGGGGCGCGAGTGATTGAATCACGGTTCTTGTAGTTCCTGGAATTCTGGCCCTCTACACTTCGAGGCTGCAATAAACGAGCGCCTACAATATGATGTAATACCTAACCTCTATACAACAACAATATTTCGTTTGCTCTTCATTAATAAGTTGTTATTGAGATATCTGACTATTGATTATTATAAAACAGACCAGGAGCAATTTTTTGATACCATAAGATTTGTGTAAAAAGACCATGTATGTAATATCTATTTTACAAACAACAAATTTTTGCTTTTTCATTTGTGAATATCTCATTAACTATAAACGGTGTTGTCGGAGCAATTTCACATTCGGAAGGAGCAAATTGAGAGCAATTTTTTGAGATATAAATCGTTAAGATACGTTAATATTCGGCGTCAGGTATTTTCCGGTTATTACGTCACCTCATTTCTATTTTAGTGTCACTACCTACCGCAGATTCACCGTTCTCAAAATGTAGAGGTCGTTAAAACCATAGGCTTTTTAAGGAGTCGGTACTACAGTTTAGGTGGGCCACCATCTCCCATAAGATGAAAGGTCTATTCTTATACATACCTCGTCAGTGATTATATGTAGAAGCAACATTATAGAATAAAGTGTTATCACATAAGCAGCGATCATTATACATATGTTTAATTTTTCAAATTTACAATCAGAATTTTTCTATTACCCATAATTTTTTATTACCAAATTCATTAACTGTATTAAAAATTTTTAATTTAAAATATTTCGGATTTCTTAGTTCTTTGGGAGCGAAAATTTCTGAATAAAACCTTAGTATGCATAGACTCTTCCGTAAAAATTGTTGTTCAGTGAAAGACGAGCAGAGTGAATGATTTCATCCGGATGTTTTTTGTATGGTACAAAGATATCAGTAGCTCTAGAAAAAATGTCGATTAGAAGAAATAACTAACAATTTATAAAACAACGTAAATGTATAGTATTTTAAATTTTGACATTCGTGGCACTTAGAAACCATACTTGATAAAAAAGAATTGAAAACGTATTAGAATTCAATTCAAACAACTCCATACGCGTCACTTGTAATATGTTATATGACCAGAAATTAAAATTTGTTGTGGGTCAGTGTAATTTATCTTCGTTATTATAGAACTATCCGATATTTTTTGAAGACATTTTCTTTAAAAATTTACAGGTTTATTGTAGATAATATGAGCCAGTGAATATTGAACGCAATAAGAATCATAATACCGGAATGAGTAGCATTTTCTTTGTCAAACTAAGAAGTCGGGCTAAACGTGCACATGCGATTTTCTATCGTGCTGATTTTTTCAATTGCACAACAGAAAATCGTTTAGAAGCATTTTAGTTTCCGACTATCTTTTGAGGAATTTCTAAAAAAATGGTGATTGCAGATGCCGATAAAACATTAGATAACCGTCACTACAAAGGAAACTGAAGGAATTTCAAGTTTCAAAAGATATGATTCAACATCCTTACGTATCTATTATTTGTAGTAAATCATTTTGTACGATTCGTACACAAAGCCACAATTTCCATCCTTTCCCGTTTACTGTATCTAAACATTTTGAATTTTTAGTCAATTAAACTGAATTTATTTACAAACAGAAAAATTATAAGCTAATAATTTCGGTTGATTTACTGGAGCGTTTTTTACTTTCGCTCTTTGACGATTTGAAAAAAGTGAGCTGCAGGCATCGGCGCTAGACCTCAAAGGTACGGTAATATGACACGGACTTTTAAGGGTGGATGGAAGAGGTCGAAGAATCGGGAGGAGAATTACCTTGAGATTACGAAAAATACAGAGGCTGGAATTGTATACGACACTGCGAGGTGGAACCATCCGTATCCGGGTCATTAAAAGCGGTTCTTCTGAACCCTACGAACACACTCGTAACAATGCATTGCAATGGGAATAATATACTCTATTTACGAATTAAAATATCCGATTTCAAAATATTCCGCACGGTATTTTATCAATATTGGCCCCATCTGTGCCTTGCGCAGCCCTACGGTATTGTTCTCTCTTACAATTTCTCTAATAAATTCACGGAGCTTCTATCGGTTAATTAATCGAAATCGACGTATTATTGCTAATTGCTTGTGAATTATTTCTCTACTACAAATGCGGCGAAAGAAGCACAAATATCTTAATACAAACATGAATATGCATATATAGTAATTTATCGCGTATGTATATCGTATTTACAAAATTATCAGCCTAGGTATGAATCAAGTGTGTCACATATTTTATGTATTTCATCAATCACGAAGTTATATGTATGTACAGGGTGAGGCATTAACTATTGCCACCTAGAATAACCCCGAAAGTATGATAGTAATAGAAAAGCTTTCGAAACAAAAGTTGCATGGGACAACGGAGGCTGTTACATGACGTTAGTTTTTTGTTGCTAAGTGGTCGGAAAAATAGCCGGCAAAAGCACCTTCTGTAAATGTAAGTTCATTTCACCTTTTTGCCTTAAATGACCTTCATTGACCTTCAAAGACCTTAATGTTTCACATCATTGGATTCGTCTCGATAGCCGCTATCAGAAAATAAGTACCAAAACATAGCATTCTATCTACAAAAACAAAGTTGACCTTTAAATCTCTGAAGCGACTCCACCTAGCAACAAAAAACTAACGTCATACAACAGCCCCCGTTGTCCCATGCAACTTTTGTTTCGAAAACTTTTCTACTACTATCATACTTTCGGAGTTATTCTAGGTGGCAATAGTTAGTGCCTCACCCTGTATATGTATACAGGGTATTTCATGTAACTTGACCACCTTAAATATATCGCTTATTTTGTATGATAGAAAAAATATCAGGGGAGAAAAATATTCTGTTCGAAGGCGCCAATACGGTGATGGGTCGAATTTTTTTCTCAAGGTAATTTTTTTCGAGATTTCAAGGTCATCGAATTTGTTTTTAATGGGACTACATATTTTCACTACAACACTCTTATAGCATATAAAAAAACAAATCCAACGAGGTGGCGAAAAAATCATGAAATGTTTGTCAGTAAGCTCAATACTAAAGATTTAACTAAAAACTGTTCCAATGAAATTGAAATTCCTTCATTTACCGTCCCCGAACGCGTACTGAGCTTACTGACAAACATTTCATGATTTTTTCGCTAAAGGTCACGTGAAGGTCAACATATTGCACCTCGTTGGATTTGTTTTTTTATATGCTATAAGAGTGTTGTAGTGAAAATATGTAGTCCCATTTAAAAAAAATTCGATGACCTTGAAATCTCGAAAAAAATGACCTTGAAAAAAAAATTCGGCCCATAACCGTATTGGCGCCTTCGAACAGAATATTTTTTTCCCCTGATATTTTTTCTATCATACAAAATAAGCGATATATTTAAGGTGGTCAAGTTACGTGAAATACCCTGTATATAATATCAAATAATAAATAAATTATTATTATTATTATTACTATTATTATTATTAGATTAATTGTAAGTTCTATTGGTGCAAATCTTGATTAATATGCTTTATATAGATATGCAGGTATGTAGGTTTCGATGAGTGCCAATAAGAAATGCCAGAAATTGATCGCGCGATTCACACTACACATTCGAATATTTGAAATACAGGAATTGGTTCTAATTTCAAGAAAATATACAATGAAATTTTTTAAATGTACCTTTGCATACATATTTTGTTAAATTGTACGAAACAAAAATACGTTAAAAAAAGTTTAAAGACTATTAAAACAGAAGATTAATTATTTTTACAGTTGTACTTACTTCTGTAATGAATACATACTTCTGTGAGTAACTATGTACGTGTTTCGATGTACAGGAATTCATTAATCGTATTGCAGGCATACATAAAGATACAGTATTAATTGTAAAACTATCACAGTTTTTATATTTTTAATGCATCTAAATGATTATTCTGAAAAAGATTTCTTCGAAACATAGAAGAATATACTTGTTATTTGTTTATGATAATTATTTGTTTCTTTATCGAAGTAATGACGGCTATAACTGTCGAAGTACTACTGTCGTCATTTATTTTTCGTTTCTTCTTTCATAACACATCTATAATAAAAGCAGTAAAATACCTATTTTTATAAATAGAAAAAATGTTCAAATATGCTGGCTATGGAGTGTATAAGTATTAAATCCCATTGATTGTTATACTTTGTTATGACATAAGCTATAATGTGAGGTTTGAGAACAATGAGAACAATTGATAGCTGTTGTGTATGTTGTACGAGAACTATTGAAACAAATACACAT